ATTTCAGAGCTCGGGGACGAGCTCTCCCTGTGAGGGGGGGTGATGTGACGGTCTGGTTTGGGATTTACCTCAGGTCACATGACCTCGGGTCACGTGATCTTACCACGTGACCTAGCCTAGCGCCTTGGCGCTCGGCACCTCTGTATATAGAGCCTCTCGGAGCAGCCTTCTACTCCTCACCTTTGGATAGCTGAATTTGACCCAACCTACCCTGCTAGCACCCCTTATCCTTACAGCTCGTGGAGACAGTGCTGCCTGCAGCCGACTTACCCAGCTAGGTGTTCCAGGGGCGCTCACAGCAGTGGAGACCGCGGACCCAGCCCTCACATTAAGAGCGTTTAATACCTTCTAGAATTCTTTATCTATAAATAGAATATTCTAATATACGTGTTAATAGCTCTATACGTTATAGAATTCTACGTATATCTAGTACTATTATACATTAATATATTATTAAATAGTATCTAGAGTAAGGTATTCTATATACGTAGAGTATTCTAGCATAATAGCCTAGACTCTAGTTAAGTACTATTCTAAGTTAACCTTATCTTTCTAGTATATTATATAGCTATTATTATAGCATGCTATCTATATAAGACTATTATAGTCTATCTAGATTATCTTAATTATTATTTTTTTCTTTAGGTATTTACGCGTAAAGTATTCTTTCTTGCTATAGACTAGGTATAGTTCTTTCTTAAAGTATTATACTTTTTTCTTAGTTCTAGAAGTCTACCTTCTCTTCTAAAGAGTTTTAACCTAGTCTAGGTCTATAGAGTCTCTCTAGAATATAGTCTAGAGTTATCTAGTTCTAACTATTAGTAGTATATAGTAATTTCTACTCTATTAATATTCTAGGTTTTATTTATACTATTAATTATTAATCTTAACTACTATCTCTATAGTATTGCTTAGGTTCTTAGATTGTTTAGCGTACGCGATGTTATTCTTAACTAACTCTTTTAACTTCTTATAAAAGAGTTCTGCTAGCGTAAGATTATTCTAGTCTAGGTAAGTACTTAGTTATCTAAACGTAGCTACGTATTAGAATACTAATCTAGTTTAGCGTAGTCTAAATAGCTTCTTCTAGGCTACCTTATATATATTAACCTCTCTAAACGTTTCTTTAAGGTATTTTGTAAACCTAGTCTAGCTTTTAAAGATTTTATTTATAAACTATTGTGTTCTCTTTATATTACTCTTATTTTCTAGCTAGTCTAATATATAGAGTTTAGCCTACATAAGAGTTTTCTCTTTTATATTTATTATAGCTTTTAGAATTTTATTCTTATTCTATAGAAATACTATAGTATTATATTATAGATAGAGTTCTATAGCTACTAGAAACGCGTTAAGATTCTCTCTTTTACTATTAAAGCGTTAAGGTAAGGCGATTTTAGTCTAGGCTTATTGTTTTACTATAGCTAGCTCTTCTACCTATTAAACACTTATTTTCTAGAGTACTATAATAATCTATTAGAGTTCTATAATTTACTTCTCTATAGTTAGCTTCTAGGTCTAGACTTTTCTAGCTTAGGTTCTAACTATTAATATAATAGTTCTACTTTTTAATATTAGGTAGTTATTTTATTATAAGCTATTCTCTTAACTAAAACTAAGGCTTACTTTTATAAGAGAAGATAAAAGATATACTTTAGCTAGAATCTTTAGTAATAAAGAGGTAGAGATAATAATACTATAATTATAAGACGTAGTAGTAATTTTAATAAACAAAGTAATAACTATAAGAAGCTATAAGAAATAAGCTTCTTCTAGTTATATATATGTACTATCTTAGCTAGATTAGAGGCTAAGACCTAGCTTCTATAGATTAGACCTAATTTATCTAGCTCTATCTAATTTATCTAATCTACGTTACGTAGTTCTAATTATTTCTATAACCTTTATACGTAATCTCTTTTCTTATAACTTTAGACTTAGCTTACCGTTTTCTTCGTTCTAGCTAGCTAACTCTATTTTTAATTCTATAATCGTAATAATTACCTAGTTAAAAGCTCTTTAGTTATAATTATTTCTTAGAGCTAGTAACTACTATCTAAGATAATATTATTTTTATTATAAAGCTAGATTTGTTAAAATTATACATGTCTTTATTAGTAATACTAAACTTTATCTTTATATTACCTACTAGGTTAAACTACGTCTAAATAATTATAGAATCTTCTTACTTTACTCTCTAATAGTTATACTTATAATTAAGTTACGTTTTAAGCTTAGAATAGTACGTAATAAAGTTATTTAGCTAGTTCTTATCTATAATCTTTCTACTCTACTTAGTAAGTAGTATATTAGCTATATCTTAAATAGTAGTAAGCTAAGAGGTAAATTCTTACGTGTCTAGGTTAAGTATATAGTTAACTATTACCTACTTTTTATTCTTTATAAGTTTTACTAAATTAGGTATCTTTTTACGTTATAGTATTATTCTAGCGTATTGCGTTTATAATAATAATAATAAGAAGACGTAGTAGATTACTCTAGTACGTTACTTACTTTAAATTTAGCTAGCCTAAATAGCTTTAATCGCAAGCTATATTCTAGCTTCTTAAAAAGACGACTTAGTATTAGTAGGTAGACTTATAGTAGTTAAGATAATTATTAGTAAGAGCTTAGTAAAAGTAACTAGCTTACTTATATAACTAGCTTACTTATAAAGTACGTTATATTAGTATATTATAGAGAGCTATAGCGTGTTATAAGCTTAGCTCTAGATTCTATTAAATAGTCTAAAGCGTAAGCTATATCTAGAATTTATCTAAAGTTAATTAGGTATTTATAGAGAACTTTATAATAGAGATAGTAGTATTTAGTAGAGGCTTAGTATTTTTAGAGCGTTTAGTAGTATAAGGCGTTTAGTAGTAGAGTATATTATTACCTTTATTACTATACCTTATGCAGCATTGTATCTTCTAGGTGTAGACTAGAGTATAAGAAACCTATCTTAGAGTTTTGCTAAGAAAACTTATGTAGGTATACTCGAGTTATTGTAGACTACTGCTAGTATGCATTTCCTGATTTGTTTAAGCTCTATCTATATTCTAGCTCGCAGTAAAGCCATTACATTACACTCTAATCAAGGTTCTGTTCGTCTCCTAGCATCTAGCTCAGCACGATGGGCTGCATCTGACCCGTGTACTGGTCTTGTAACACTGTCTGCAAACAGCTCTCTTGCTTGAGGATATGGAAACTTGTTGGAGAGAGACCCGTTCGTGAAGAACCCAGAGTGGTCGTGGAAGCACACCGATAAAGAGATTCAAGCTCCGACGGGCCAAGAACGGCTCGGAGATTTGCCCCATCGCGTTTGGATCCGCGCTGGGTCTTGGTGGCATGCAAGAGAGCTCAAACTGTTCCGCAAGGAACCTTCGAACCATGAAATCCTGGGCTACCGATCCCACGGCGGTGGAAGCCAAGCCAGGCAAAGGTTTTTAACGCTGATAACTAGGAGCCCGTATTCCGCGGCAAACTAAAATAGTCTCTGATATCGCCTCCATGGACGCCTGGCGGTGTCTGACCCCAGGGTTCAATATCGGACTCTGACTCCGACTGTTCCTCATACTGCGTCTCATTCAGGGCATACGGGTTTGGCGCCTCCATGCCTTTCAACCATTGTTCTTTTGATATGATGGGTGTGGAATAAACAAGATCCATGCGGTTAGGTCTCAGAAGCTCGTCTCGAATCTTGTCCATCCGGTCCCACGGATATTCATCCCTCCCCACTCTTGCCCAGTAATCGGGGCGGAACCCTATCTTGACTGTCTTGAGAGCAGCCTTGCGAGCTATAGCATGTTCGCCAAGCTCTTGTAGCCACGCTTCTTCTTTCTCTCCAAAGTCGCTCCAAGACTCGCTATGTTGGTCATAAATGTGGAAACTCCATCCGAAGAACTTCAGTTTCGGCCCTAAAAAATTCGCACTTTCCGCGGTGAATGGTGTGAGTTCACCTGGATAGCCCATCTGCCACCTAGATAGCGTCAAAGATTCAAGATTGGGGAAGAGTGTTGCGTCGAAGAGGTGCTTGTTTTCACCGCCATTGCGAGAGAGGTAGCCAATGTCGATGGTCTTGAGGGACTTGCTGTGGATAGAAAGCCACGATTGGAACATGGGGTAGTCCATCATCCAGGGGTTGTTGTAGAAGCTACCAAATTTGAAGTGTTCGAGCTGGGCCGGCCACTGGATAAGCAGAGCAGTGGATTGCGGTGTTTCCCCGTAGTCGGATATAGCGAGGGAGGTAAAGGACGCAGTGCGGAACAACTAGGCATGCGATCAGTATTTGGATACTTCTGAGTTCGTCGCTAAAGAATTCCGTACGTACCTTTGGGTCTAGCTGCAGAGAATGAGCTTTCAACTCAGAAATCCCATGAAGCTCCAACTTTTTAAGCTTTGGGGTCGGGACGTTTAACACGTGCTGGAGATAAAGCCCCCAGCCTTCCCTAGTAAGCCTCCAATGTCGTAAGTCTTCCGACTTCTGCATCAAGCTTTGGATTAGACGCCATGTATCCTTATTTGGTTTCTCGAACCCCCCGTAACACTTCAAACATCGCACTCTGGTTAGCCATTTTGCAAGGTCTTTTGCAATGGCCCAGTCCTGTGGCCTCAGTGTTGTTGCGTCTGAAACGCCGATGGAAAAACGTCTGCAATGTTGACGAAGGGACGGATTCTGCCGTAGCGCGAGGTGTAACCGAATGACACCCTTTTTAGGTGGCACCATCGACGGTGTGCCTTCAAATGCTATAGTGTGGAATAGCATTGGTTGGGCGATGTGGCTTATTCGCCAACATGTGCGCGATAGTGCTTTCGCGCATTTAGCATTCGGGGTGAAGCTGCAGTCGGAGCATCCATGCCGATCATTAGGTTCAAAAATGGCAAGCTCAATGATAGAGACTAGAAGCTCTTGCGGGAGTCGGAATATAAACGCAGGACCAGTTACCGGGGAGCTCTGGGGCGAGGGGCTCTTGGAGGAACAACGCTTGGGCTCTGCATGTAAAGGTTTAAGATCGATGATAGCGAGGTCTTTCTTTGGAGATGGTCCAAGGCGTGTCTGTCGAATCGCTAGATCCCCATTTTGCATTTTCTATGAAGCGTGGGTGTGTATTGAGCGGTTGATAGTAGTAGAGTGCAGTGGCCCGATATCTCAGCGGAGCTTTGCTGTCATTGGGGTGGGGCACTAGGCGATATTGGGCTTAGAGCCAAAATACCCCTCTCCGGCGCAACTAGCAGCGCCACCAAAAAGCCGCACAAGGAAACCAAGTGCGCAGGTCCTCAAAGCCCAGCAGTCGTCGAGAACACAATCAATTACATCAAGGTTGACACAGAACCAGCCGTCCCTAAGCGCGACCGTCGCTCCTGAACGCGAAGGGAGAGCCGAATCGAGAAGAAATCACGTCGCTCCTCGCGAACCTAAAGGAAATCATTACGCAGCAGATCAGCACCACCGCGAACCAGAACAGCATCATCGATAGCCTCCGATTCATTTACGCGAGCTAACGAGGGCCCCTTGCAAAGACAAAGAAATAAAACATGGTATTGCAAACGAGCCTAGCTACACGCAACGCCGGCCGTGATCCCAGGCCTACACTACAAGCCATCGACCCACAAGGAGCCCGCTGTGAAAAGGACATTTTGAGAAAGAGAACAAGAACAACCTGCACCCCGCCCCCATCCTTCGCTAAGAAAGATGTCTAGAGCCAGGGATGCGCCAGACCAGGAGCCGAGGGGAGACCACCAAGCAAAGAAAAGCTCGCACGCTGTCGGCAAGTATAAATATGAACTCATTAATACACCTTTTTGGGGGGCGAACGTATTGCAGACATGGACAACCCTCCAGGTGCGCCTGTGGGCAGAATTGCGTAGAAATGCACGTCGGACAAACGAACCGCTAGAGGATCGCTCGCGTGTCCACACACTTCTTCCAGCTGTCTCTTGCCATGATACTATCCTGCCACCTGACAACATTCTTATACCCCTTGAAGACCTCCTCCTTCGACTCGCCCGGCAGGATATCCACCATGCTGTTCCAGGGGATAAAGGAGAAATCGGCATAGGTCAGTTTGTCGCCGACGAGATAAGGGGAAGTGGCCAGGTGGCCGTCGAGAATGGAGAGGATGCGGCGGACTTCGGCGCTGTAGCGGGCCATGGCCGAGGGGATGCGCTCGGGGTGGAGGATGTTGAACCTGGAAGATCTCGTCAGCCCTTCGTCGGTGTAGTAGAGTAAAAAACGCACCAAGCCGCCTGCCCAAAATACGGCCCCTGCCCGCTCATCTGGAACATCAACCACTGCCTCTCGAGATTCCTCTCCACGACCTTATCCCCATGTGTCAGCCTGCCCTGCGTATCATACTGCTCGACGAGGTACAGGATAATGGCGCCGCTCTCCCACAGCGTGAGCCCCGTGTTCGGGTCCTCGATGGCGGGCACGCGGCCGTTGGGGTTGAGGGTGACGAAGGGCGGCTTCTTGACGTCGTCGAATTTGAAGGAGATGATTTCGTAGGGCAGGCTGAGTTCTTCGAGGATGACGAGGACTTTGTAGGGGTTGGGGCCCGGTGCTTGGGAGGAAGTGTTAGTGGGTGGTGTTTAGGCGGATTGGATAAGGAGGGTGGGGGATGGGGAGATTGGGCTCACGGGTGAGCCAGAGTTTGATGGGTTGGATGTCTGTCATGATGGGAGTGGAAGCGAGGAAGCGGAGTGAGATGTTAGGTGCCGGTATGAAGAACGGGAGTGTGTGCAATGGCAGGCTCAGGAAAATGGCGGAAAAGCTTAGGAAAGTAGAAGAGCTGTTGGTATGGAGGTGCTCTTCGGATTAGAGGCAGCGGGCCCTGCACGTGAAGTTATAGAACACCAACTCTCAAAGAAACCTTGGGAAGAGAAGTAGAAAGCTGGATATGAGTGTAGGGAACCAAAATGCCTAAGATGGCAGAGCTTAGAAAGTAGAGAAGAGTTGTTAGTACTTATGCGATTCTCTCGTACGAGTGGCTCAATGAAGATCCTAAGAGCTTACGTCGCAGGGCTGTGACGTGCCGCAAACTTGCGGTATGCTTTGCTCACTAAAATCCTAGCGCGAACGTTTCGAAAATAATGGTAGACCAATAATCTTGTATGTACCAGCTGGCGTAGGGCCCTACGCAATCTACTCCGGAAGCCGTTCCTACGACCAAGTAAGCACTAACGCCATTCGCCTGCACCACAGATAACAACGAATGGAGGCAAACCACATCACCGACTGCTGCTCCCGTGCTCATGAGCTCCATCAAGATCAGGATCATACTCCTTCCCCTTGCCGCTGTTACGCCGCACAGGTATTGTTGTTGGGTTGGCTTCCTTGAGCGGCTCCGTCTCTGCGGTTTCAACATCGCTATCCTCGTCTTCTCTCCTAGCTCGCCTGTGCTGCTCGAGCCACTCGTCGTCCGATTCCACATCGCTCTCTTCTCCGGGCGCAGCAACATAATGGCCCTCTCCGCTGGCTGGGTCTTTGATGAAGCCGTCAATGATCCAGTATTGCAGGGCATTCATGATTAGCGGGAAGATGAACATGACAAACGTGATCTGGATTGCCTCGTTGCCCTCGGTCCATCGAAGCGCCCAGTCACCGGCCCATGCGATCCAGGGTAGCAGTTGGAAGATGATGAAGACGCAGAGCTTCATTCCGAAGAGACCGAGAAAGTATATTATGGACTGCTTGAGCCACCAGGTGGCGCGCGGTGGGTGGCCGTAGTTACCGGAGCGAATCGACTCGGGAGGATTTGCGAGCGGGGTGAGCAGGAAGCCCCTGTGGAGAATTTTGAGCAGGAGGACTAGAATCGGGATACCGATGGTAGTCTAATTCGGTTAGTGAGCTTCTGGTAAGTCGAGACGCTGCACCTACATCGATAGTGATATTGAGGAGGTAGAACGAGCAGGGATTTGGCTGGTTCCCCTCGTCATCCGCCCCCGCATACTGTGGTGTTGCCTTCGTCTTTGCCGCCACGTCGAAGCTGCCCGACGACAGCATCGACATGAGGATATTGGCTAGATGCAGGAGCACAGAGCCAAACACCTGCTTCGACACGTCGAAGAACCAGATCCTGAGCGGCCGCCGTGGTGTCTCCCTCCATCGCTTGTAGACCAGCGACGAAAGGGCGAGCAACCCAAGCGCGCCCTGCACTATCAGGGCCCAGGGGCCTAATAGATGGCACTCGCCGTTATCCTCATTATCCATTGCGTTGGCTTGTGCGGCCGTCGACTCCGCGGGCTGGGCTGCTAGAGCCGCGGATGTTGTAGGCTTTTCTTCGGCCGGGGAGGGAGACGGGGTTGGTGTTGGAGCAGGAGTGTCTGCTGGCATCTCGCTGGGTTTCGCAGATTGGCCTGGGCGGGCAACTGTCGGTCGCTGGGGAGCGGCTTCCGGGCTGACGCCCTCAATGCCCATCAACTCGGTTTCAAATACTGTAAACGATGTTAGCCGGCTGCGTTCTAGGCTACCACGTGCCTGTCTAAGACATACTCAACGTCGAACCCGCAGGTATCGGCCCATTTTGCGAGTTTCCATATGCCAACGCCGGCGGGATTGTGAGCTTCCTGCCCTCGCCTATACACATGTCCAGCAGGCCCTGGTCCCATCCTTGTATGACCTGCCCTTTCCCTAATGTAAACTCAAACGGCTGCCCTCTATTGTAGCTCGCATCGAACTCTGTGCCATCGCTCTGCAATGTCCCCCGATAATTCACGGATATCTTGTCGCCATTCTCCGTTTTGCGGCTGCACTCGACCGGCTTTGTGATTTCGATGCCGAGACTCTGTGCGGAAACGAGGGAGGGTAGGAGCGAGAGAGCGTAGAGTGGGGTGAAGCGCCGCATCTGCGGCTATCGGTGCGATTCTGCGTCGCGGTCTGGGAAGGAGTTTGGCACGGTTGCACAAAGAGAAGAGAAGGTGAATCCGTCACGAGGCCGCGGAGGCGGGCGAGATGTCTGCGGACTGACTGGTGATGGCGATGTGAAACAACCCAGTCCAAGAAAAGACACGGAATCCCGAAATAGTCGACTGCGCACGTGCAAGGAAGAGCGAAAGAGGACTGTACCCGCGAAGAGGGAGGAGAAAGGGAATGAAGGCGGTGCGCTTGCGCCTCGAATCCGTCGACGTTGAGCATGGCGATGCCAAAGATCATTGCCACAATAAGGTAGCCTTGCCAAGGAGGATGTTCCTCACGGTCTGGGCCAATCACACGCCATCCATAAAGTGATTCAAACTTCAACACGTAACCCTCTACCACTTCGGCATCTGCAATAACTTTCATTCCGAGATAAAACCATTTACCAGGAGCTTTGTACTGAGGGGTCATATTGAAGCCTGCTACCGCGATCAGAAGCCGATCCAGCGGCTTCTCGGATGCCCCCAAGGCCCATCATATATCAAGGCGCTCCCGAGATCAAGAGCTCCGGAAAAGAGATATCTAGCCCAAAAGAGAACACCATCACTTGCGCTTCTTACACCCACACATTATGGCTCTCCCTCTCTTTAATATCCACGTTACCCTTCTCCCTCTCCTTCTCTCCTTCCTCCCTCCCCTCCCTATTCCCACCCCCAGCCAATCTCCACATCTTCCTCTCCGCAGGCTTTCCATCGCTCCTTTTCTTGCTCCTAAACATTCGGACCCACTCGAAATTCCACTTCCGTCGTCTCAATGACACCGCAGCCCCAGCCAGCACCATTATACAAAACAATGCGCCCACCGACGCGCCGACGCCAATCCCCGTCTTCGCAAAATCCGACAACTCGCCTTTCTTAATGATCACAGTCGGCGTGGCGGTAGTGGTGACCCGAGAGACGATGGTGCTGACAATGGTCTGCAAAGACTCATAGCTCGTCACGGTATGCACGGCCGTAGCCGTGACAGTGACACCCTGCGCTAGTTGGGTAACAGTAGCTCCGCCGCCAGCAGTATTCAAAGCTGCGAGATTCGCGTTTGTGGCCCCCTCTGTGCTGGAGAGAATGCAGGTCGTAGGTTCCGGGTTCGCCGCGATGTTACCACTAACAAAGACGACGAGAACCGCCGCGTATCTGCCTCCTATTAGCTCCATCCCTTTCTACCCAACTTTCGCTCACGAGGCGCACACTTACGCAGCAGTAGCAACAAACACATCCTGCCTCCTGACATTCCCCAGACTCGCACACGCCGCCGCAAACAGCACCGTGAAAGTGCCCAGCATCCCCAGCCTTGCCCGCGCATTGCTCACAAAGTACAGCCCGACAATCGCGCCTACGAGAAATAGCACCGCGCAAATGGCACTAAGAAACGTCACGAGGTGCGCGACATTCCCCCCATCGCTCTGTCTCTCGAAGAAACGCGTTAGCGGATCCGGATCTGCGCACGGGGAGAGGCTGCTGAGATCGGATTCCTGGCGCCGCGTGTAGTACTTGTCCGAGAAATACGGCGTCTTCTCTGCGGAGTCCGGTCTGAAGTCCTCCGGGGGGAAGGCGCGCCGCGTTTCAAGCAGCGCGTTTTTACTCGGGCGCGAAAGAGCGAGAATCTCTTTCGTCAGGAGGACGGCTTCATCTACACCCCATATATTAGTCACACTTTCTCTCATACCGTCCCCAATAGCGCTTGTCCCATCCTTCAAACACTTACAGTACTCCCGCACCCTTTCCCTCAACTCCCTCTCCAACTCCCTCACACTCTCCTCCTTTACCATCCTCCCGCCCTCCAACCTCTCCAACCTCTCCTCCAACACCGCGACCTCCCTCTCCATCCCCATCAACCCCCTAAAATTAGCGCGATCGAACCTGCGAAAAAGCGTCCCAGAATGCGATCGCGACTCCGCCATAAAGGACGCGAGTTGACCCGACAGCGCGCGCCGCTGCTTGCCGCAGTCCCACGCGTGGACTCTCTCGTCGCCATCGCTTCCGGAGGTAGTGTCTTGAGGAGTCAACGGCTCGCAGGTGATCTCTATTTTGGCGCTTTTTGCGTCTTCGTCCAGGTGCAGCGCCGGCTCCGATATGCTGCTGCGCGAGCTGGCGATTGTGCTGATGACATCTTCGTCCGGCGCACCCATTGCGGATTGGAACGAATGCTCGAATTCCGCCAGGCACCCCGAGAAGGAATCCCCACCTTCTTATCGCAGCTGCTCGTGTAAAGAAGGTCCTTTCTTGACTGGTGGCTGAGACGTTCGCTCCATTGGCCAGTCACACGAGCTGCATGCTTCCACTGCAGGAGCAATATATGCAAGCCATACTCCGTGCCGCGCTCATCAGCCCACAAGGGGAAGAGCTCAGCCACACTCAAGCGGGGATCCAGGCAGCAACCTCTTGTTACGATGGACGATTGCGGTCTGTCGCTGTTGGCATGCGAATGCTAATATATTGAAGAGTGCATATACTGAATTTTTCCTATGGCACATCGCGCCGACTATAGTACACACAAACCCAACCCAATCCGATCGACGAATTACCCCAATCCCGCCCTCTAGTCTGCGATGTACCCCGATCTCAGTCGCATTCCAAAAGGCCCCCTCTTTTTGGCAAGTAGAGTACCCTAATCGAAACATGAGAAGAACGCCTCCATGGCGCAGTGACCGTACCGTTCCGAGCCATCCATACCAGCCAGACCGTAGTAAGAGAAGCGCCGCAAATGCTGATGCGATCCAAACATTACAGTGTCCACTCCCAGTTTGATATTCCATGTAAAATGCGTGAACAGCCAGAACCCTAAGGAAGGACAAGAAGAGGAATGTAGTTGTGCTGGCAACCGCTCGATGTAGTCATTACTCCAATCCGTAACCGGCGGGACCGTCCACCAACCTCCAATTAATCCTACGCCACGCTGCAAACCGCAGCGCCGAAATAGCCGAATCCCATATACGCCGAGTCGCTGATGCAATTTCGCTGGTCCAAATGTATGTGTTTCTGTTGTTGTGTGTGAATGTATAAGCCGATGCTAGATCGGCGGTTTCATGACCTGCGTAGTTTCATAAACTCCGGCGGCTTTGTCTTGTCCGCCGGATCCAGGAATTTGGTCATTACCAAGGAAAGTTCCTTGAACTCGACTGGCTTCGTGACGTACGAGTTGAAGCCAGCTTCTACGCACTTGGCGTAAACATCGCCCAGAACGTTGGCCGACAGCGCGATGATAGGGTGGCGGCGGTAGCTGTTTTTCCTTTCCCATCGCCGAATCTCTTTGCATGCTTGGTATCCATCTTTGTTGGGCATATGTAGATCGCACTACGGCCGTGTCAGTAGGGAAATAGTACAACCAGGACGGTGAACTTACTAAAATGATCGAATAGTAGCCCGGCGGCTTCGAGAATACCGCTTCCGTGCATTGCACACCATCTAGCACAGTTTCTGTCTCGATCGAGATCTTCGCTAAGAACTTGAGGACGACCTGGCAGAGGTTACTGCGTTGCGAAGGGTAGGGATTGAGGAGGAACTTACAGTTTGGTTGATGTAGTTATCCTCTACCAGAAGGACTTTGTAACCTTTGCTACCAAGCCGTCTCTTGAGTTCTTCAAAAACTAGCTTCTGGTTGAACACGACTTGCTGCGCTGAATCCTGGTTACGATCTGTGCTGGACTCGCGCTCCTTCTGAGGGTCGAAAATGACAGCGAATTTTGAAGGCTTGAGAGGCCGATATATGAATTGAAGCCGACGATCAATCGATAGCTGGTCGTAATCATAGGTCGGAGCTTCCTTCATTAGTTCCTTCTTCTGCGCTGGATCCGAAACCACCACGATGGAGGTGCTGGCGTGGACTATCGAGTTCAGAATTTGATCCATGATCGCTATCACTTCGGCCGTCTCGTGTAGTACAAGAACCACGTGAGTGAATAAGACGGGATCGTCACCGCCGATCATCCTTTGGGCCTCAACTAGATTCGCTTGACCTGTGACCTGATGAGGGACTGCCGAAGGTAGAGTATTCTTGATGTGCCGAATCGTAGCTTCTCTACTGTGCACCAGCGGACACACCACCAAAATGGAATACATTGGTGGCTGTAGCGAGCTGCCAAGTGGCGAGAGGCTGCGAGGTTTGTCGGGCGGCCGTGCGGTTTCGTCTGATTCAACGGATATAGAGGACTCCTCGGAAGGAGCTTCTCGATCACTACCTATTCTCCTAGTAGGAAGGGCAAGCTTCATTTCGGAGTCCTTCGGGTGCGCAACTTCTTGGAGAAAAGAGGAAGCCGATGACCTCTCGGAACCCAGGCTGGACTTTCCGGTGAGTGCGGTGCTAGTGAGTGAGCGGTCCGAACTAGCAGAGGAAAGTGAGGGCGACTCGCGAGATCGTTCGGAGGCGGTCAGGCTAGGCACAGGAGATTTGATTGAATCGCTGTGCTCTGAGGAGTAGCTTGATATTCGCTCTCGTCGGACACTCGAGGCCACTTGAGGAACCATAGGCTTCTGCAGAGGCGACGGCTGAACAGGTAACGGCGGGGCCGAGGTCGTAGGTCCCACCGCGGGAGTCCCTGGCGTGTGAGGCGGTGGTTTTGGATAATCATCTGCGGTAGGAAGTTCAAACTTAAGCGTGAAGAAGAAGGTCGAGCCCTTCTCGGGGATGCTTCGAGCGTCCATTTTACCTCCGTGCAACTCCACAAATTGCATCGAAATAGCCAAGCCGAGCCCTGTCCCGCCATGCTGCCTAGTACTGCTCGCGTCAATTTGACTGAACCGCTTGAACAAGTACTTTGCTTCATGTTCGTTGAAACCTCTGCCGGTATCGATGACCTCGAATCGCACCACGACCTCATTATCTTTCAAAGAGCCAGGGCGGTCCTTAGGTTGCATCTGACATCGCACAAAGACTTCGCCTTTCTGTGTGAACTTGATGGCGTTGCCTACGACGTTCAAAAGGACTTGACGGATGCGGAACTTGTCACCCCTGACCATGGACGGGACACCTTCTTCCACAAGATAATTGAGCTCAAGACCTTTCTGGATGGCTAGCCCCATGTTCAGGTCATTGACCTCTTCGAGAAGGGATGGTAGGTGAAGCCACTCCATTGTCAGCTTAATCATCCCGGCTTCGACCTTGGACAGGTCCAGAATGTCGTTAATGAGGTTGAGAAGGCTGTCAGTACTAGACTTGATGATATTGACATGCTCCAGTTGCTCGGCGTTGAGCGGACTGTCCAGGAGGAAGTTCACCATTCCTGAGACACCATTCAGTGGCGTCCTGATTTCGTGAGACATATTGCTCAAGAACCGCGTTTTGGCGTCCATGGTCTCCTTTAGAGTTTGCTCGAGCAGCTTGTGGTCATTGATGTCAGTGGCCGTTCCATACCAGGTTTCCTCGTCGTTGTCCTCGGCAAGCGACTTTTCCAGAAGTATTCTGACCAGATGCCACCTGTACTCGCCCTCTTTGTTACGCAGTCTGACCTCAGTGGAATAAGATGCGCGGCCATCGGCATCTTTGGTGATTCGCAATATGCCGGTGCTGGCGAGCTTCGACAGCTTAGCTTGCGGCATATTTAGTCTGTCCGGTGATGAGCTTCCGGGACTGGTAACGGCCCTTTCGGTTTCAGACGATTCGTCGGATGATGATGATGACGATGATGAGGCCTGGCGTGCGTGCTCAGTAGGTAGCGACGTTGGCACGTTCGTAGCGGCAGAGCCATCCTCGGACATCTCAGGAAGCTTGCATTTGATAACATCGTCCGGATGAACATGCTCCAAGAACCCATTACCGTGCGCTTGTGCTTCGGTCTGGCCTGAGTACGACTGCCATTGTGAATTGCAAAAGGTGAGACCGCGACGGTTCGATACCACAAATACGACCTGAGGGCTTGAGTTTGCAAGGGCTCGGTACTTCGCCTCCGAAGCTGCAGTCTCTTGTTGGCGCGCAGAATTCAGTTCGGCAAGGTGCTGGTCATGGAAGTCCATGTTAGTCCCGATCCAGTGTACAATCTGCTGCCGCTTATTCTTCAACGGCGCCACCCGAACGTAGAACCATCGGTAACAGTCGTCGAACCTCCGCAGTCGAACCTTCTTTTGCAGTTGCTGACCTGTGCGTAATGACTTGTTCCACTGCTCTAGGTACTCGTCTCGATCTTCGGGGTGAATAGCATCCCACGGGCCGCGCAAAACTTGGTGAGACTCTTGTCCTCGGTAAATAAGAAACTTCGTGTTTGCCCAAGTCAAAGCACCAGTAGTAGGGAGTGCTGTGAATATCTGCACAGGTAACGAGTCGATAATAGTTCGCAGGAGGTTCTCGGAAGGAGGTGGCATATGCAACTCCGCAGACTCGGCAACGGGACCGCTTCTGGTAGGAGCAGGGGGTGCTGCTGGCGTCCAACTCCCCGGCGTGGTGGCTGCAGGGAGAGATTGGAAAGACGAGCTAAAATCTGCGCCATACGAATGCAGAAGAGAATGGGCTCGGTGTTGACTTCCCTGCGACGGTGCCAAACGTGACCGCCGACCAGCTAGCGTATCTTCTGTTGCCGGCTTCTCGTTCCGTGGCGTTGGCGTACCGTCGTCTAGACGCTCTACCATACTGCTGATGCTTGCTCGCTTGGATGCCCGCTTTTCGTGCTTTCGTGTAGTCTGCTCTTGGGACGTGGAGGATGAATGGCTGGGTGCCCGAGTAGTTCTCTTCTTCGCATCGAAGTAGCTCTCAACAGCCTCGCTGCCAGCCAGGTGACCCGGAGTACTGCCCACGGAATGTTTACTAGAAAACCCTAGGTTAGATGGATCCCACCCCGGTGTGCCACTAAGGGAGCCGCCAGGACTGTGCTTCGACCGTCCAGAGTAATCCGAGGGGCTAGTGACACTCCCAGCGCCGGAGTGGCTGACATTCTCAAGGTCAAGATGGAGCAGGTCATCGAGAGTGCCCTGGTCCGACATAGGAGCAAACCCTACCTGTTGCCCCGTCATGAACCGCCGCTGGCGGACCCCGCTGACCTGGGCTAGTGCGTTGGTGAACTGCCAAGCATTGGAGAATGATGTGGCTAGGTGCGGGCCGAGGTGTTTAAGAGAGTTCGTGAGGTTCCGAGGGTATGGAACGATAGGGGATAGAATTGAAAGGATGGCAATCGGTGCTTTCCGGTGATGCTCTTCCCTTGGAGAGGTGGAATGAACAGACTGTTCGGACGTTCTCCGTGATATAGATGGGGTCCGCGAAGGGGTTGCTGGTTCTGGGGGTTGCATGACCTGCGACAATGTAGGATGTATGAGTGGTATGTGGGTTACGGTGCTGGCCTTGTCAACACCGATGGCTTCTACTTGACCGAATTGGGTGTAATCTTGCGTTGAGGTCGACGGATTAAACGTCTCTTCATCGACATTGCCAGTTGCGAAGAAAGGGTTCTCGGTCGGATCATTCTGGATTGCGGGAGACGGAGCAGGCGATTGCGCCCAAGGCGAGCTCGGGAACTGCTCGTACTCTTCGTAGCGAGGCTGTAACCTTAACTCAGTCTGCTCGATGTTCCCAGCCTTTGTCGATGGGCTCGTACGCGATCGTGCATTGGCTGGTCGTTGTGCTTCTTGTCCAGCCGATTTCGCCGGTTTCGTTGCTGGCTTCAAGTCTTCTTCTTTCTCCGCCTCCACTGATCCTTTTCGAGATCCCGACAAAGCGGTCGAGTAGTCTCTCGTTAGTGTCACTAGCCGGCCTCGTTCCAGCACACGATTGATCCCGGCATTATCAATGAGCGCATCAGGCTCATGGTCTAAGGCGCGGAGTACCGGAAACACCGACGAAGGCGGCGGCAGCTCCCCTCCAACGCTCGAGAAGTCAGGATCGCTGAATGTGGGCTCTCTGGACGGCGTAGGAGTCGACTGGAAACGAGCGGTCCCATCAAATGATACTGGAGATACTTGTCTTAATGGATGCTCCGACCTGACAGCCGAATAAGGGGCATGGCTGACCGTCCTTAGAGGGCCGCGAGGCCGCGCATGTGGCATAGAGATGGGAGTTTCCGGCGACTCGTCCTTCTGGCGTTCATGGCCAGCAAATGAATGACGGGATGGAAGTTTCGGCCTCTTTTCAGGCAAGACGGGGAACGCCGGCTGCTGACGAGGCTCGGTGGGTTGTGGGCTTTGGGGCTGTTCTAGTACGTCCTTTTGAGGCCGGGTCTTGGTCTCTTGAGGCGTAGATATGCGTGGGCTATCACCTTGGGTGGAGGCATGGAAAGTAGTCTTTTGGCCCCAGGGAACATTTTCGATATCAGATGCATCGGCAGGGACAGCCAACGTTGCTCTTTCCACTCCGTACCAATCATGCATGATGGTTGTCACGTAATTCCACCAGGCTGGCAGTCCCGGTTCGGCGTTAAGCAGCAAGACGAGGTCGTATAGACTCGGGCTCGGGAAGCGTGGGTCTTCAGCAATGGGGCTGTGGAGCGTTCTCTCCCCAGGCGCGAACGGCGTCCCCGAAGCAGCTGGCGTGCTCGTTTCGGACGCGACTCGTTCTCTGGGCGCTGCATATTCTCTTGCATACATAGCAGATACTGTGGGGGACAAGTTTGTGAAGGGCTGGTGGAAGGACGAGGACCACACCACGGGCGTGTTGGGCACCGTGGGAAAGGGATACGAGGGCGTGCGAAGAGCGCGGGCTGCAGGCGTTGGCGGCACGCTGCCGCGGATCGTCTTCGAGGATTCCGTCGACTCAGTGGACGTGGTCTGGCCAGTGGGCAACGGGGTGCTGAAAGCTCCCTCCAGCGTAGGCGACATACTGGCCGCAGGCGCGGGCTCTTCTTTGATTGGCGACACTCGCCGTGCCCCTAGAGGGCTTGACCCCGTTGCGCTTGCTGCGCTCTTCATCCGCACACGCTGTTGTTTCTGGATCGCCTTCAACTGCAGGCTCCGGAGCCTCTCAATTTCGAGCTCGTCTGGCGACGACTTCCCCTGCGGGTTATCATCCGGGCTCTCCACCCCGCCCCGCATTGCGCTTTCCTGGCGCTCCTGGTCGCCTTCCGCGGCGCTCTCGCCCACGTCCGTGTCCGTGTCCGTGGTCTCCTCATCCTGCTCCTGCGCAGCCGGCAGGCTCGTCGGCGGCTCGTGTGCGGGCTCAGGGTGGCGTGCGAGGGCGCTTGGGGGCAGGCGCTGCAGTAAGGGGCGCGCAGCCGGCGGCGATGGTGGATATGCGGCGGTCGGCGAGGGCGCGGTGTCCGGGGCGGTGACGTTGGTGGGTTGGGCAGCCGTGGTCGACCTGGGTGACGGCAGTGGTGCCCTCTTCATAGTGGCATCCCCCTATCTCCCCTCTGGCGGCACAGGAGAGAGGACGTTGACGGATGCAGCAGAGGCCGGCCTAGTAGAACGAGGGCAGGCGGTGACATTCGCGTAATGTCGGAGACGGAGAGTGTGGTGTTGGCGCGAGGCAAGGTCCCTGGTGCTGCAGACGCTGGCGTCCGAAGTCCACAATGACGTAGGGCTGGACACTAATCGAGACGGTAGAAACGCGCGGAGCCGGTGGGCCGGGTCGCGGGCACGGCATCAACAAAGAGCAGAGGGAGGCGGCGCGCACGGCAGGATCTGAGCTGCTATCTAGGCGGCGCGCTGGGAAGACTCAGACCGGGCAGTTGGCTGCGCGTGGGCGCATCAAGACTCGCTGGGACGGGCAGCGGCTCGATAGTGGCCCTTCGCCGCGCAGCCATCACCACTCAGATGCAAATTGACGCTGCAAACCCGGCCCACACCGCGCCTTCTCTAATCATGGTCCAGGGGTCTGATCGACGTCATTGCCAAGACAATCTTAAGCAGGGTCGCGGATAGAACGGCCGCCCCGATCACGAGATTGCGCTCCAGGGCTGCACCAGTCCACTCACGCCTTTCTCCTCATGACCCCCTCGCTGCCGCCGTGTCTCGGCGGGTGCCTTCGCTCCGCGGCACCCAATTCTCGTTGCCGGGACATCGAGTGGCTGATACAGCTGCACAAGAGAAATATTGGAAGGCCGACCCCGATTGGATGGCGAAGGGCTTCCGGAGCGTGGCGCCACAGGAAAGCAGACTAGCCCCGAGCAGGCATCGCACGCCAAGGACGCCAACCTCACCATTCTGCGGCTGCAGCAAGCACCACTGCGTTGGATTGAACAGCCTCATTCTGCAGGCGAAGCAGTATCCGGGCACACAACTGGAGAAAATTAGTCATTCGTCCATATCTCTCACACAAGCGACCCAAGCATCTATCTATCTACAATCACCCCTCTCCGCCGCCGACCCGCCATGTCCAACCTTGGTTCAGCCCGGGCATGTCAACCCTGGCAGCTCGCGCGGCCCGCCCTACGCCTTACTGCCTCGTGGCCCACTGCTTTATCCAAGCCTTACACTCCTAGATACGTTCCGCTCGTGATACGCTTGATGCTGGCCACGGATTTCCACGCCGGCGCCGGGCTCGGTGGAGGTGCATTTTCCTCAGCATCGGCAAACGGGTCCGACTCTCCTTCCTGCTTCGACTCGCTAGGGGCACTCTGACTGACACTGAGGCCGCTCCCTAGCCTGAGACACTCAGCCCCTGTTATCTCCCAGCGCGCCTCGCTATTCCCGGGCTTCGCCTCGCCATCCGTGAGGAAGCGCACACGCATAGCCTGCGCCGGTTGATCTCGAGAGAAGGTCACCTCCCCCAACCGCCAGTAGATGAGACTCTTCTCTCTAGAAAAAGTGCCCGGCGGTTTCGACTGGCAAGAAGTCGCTTTCGAGCCAGGCTCAAGTCGAAGAACCAGGACTACGTTGTGCAGAGTGATACTTGTTGCATCGCCCAGTGCGAATTTCGGATTCAGAGAGTAGTGGAGGAGCACTGACGTCTGGGTAGGCTCTGTCTTCCATGCCGGCGAGAGGATGATGGGCGCAAAGGATGTAAGGTTGTCGCTCTCGAGGTGCACTTGATAGTGGAACGCTACTGACGTCTTCATAATCTTAGAGAGATCGACCGTGTAGTTGCCTGGACTATCGGGGACCTGCTCGATGAACGCGGGGTTTGGCGCCACCTTCTCTAGGACGGGAAAGTTTTCTAGTCGAATAGTGTCGGTACCGAATGGACCTGCAGAAATATCGATTGGATTGTATGCTAACGCGACTTGTCCGATTACCATGGACTTGGTGACGTTGCCGTGTTCGAACCAAGCGCTAACGGTCTCGACCAATGACGAATTGAGCCCTGGCTCATGCATATCCGGGTGTTTGATCGTAGTGCTAGCGGAGCTGCTTAGAGATCGCCCGGAGCGGACGGATTGGGTGTCTGATGCCGCATGCTCATCAGACAGAAGGGTCCTGTGTTGTACTTTGAAAGCTGGCGATGTTGGTTGAGGTGGAGGTGCAGGCATAGGAAATGTTGCGGAGCCGGAGCCAGCCGATGGAATGGGGGGAGGAATTTCCCCAATGCTTGTCAGTTCGGGTGTTGCAGGATTTGGAACGAAAATTGTGTTGCGCACATCCCGGCGCCCGCGGAGGGTGTTAGACCGCCTTGGTGGTGCAGCTTGCTGGAGGACTGTTAGCGAGGAACCACGACCGATGGAAGCCATCATACCGCGCGCAGGGTGTTAGCCATGTCTGCCATGGCTGCATTGGGATCGCCCTCCTCTTCTTGGATAGGTGCGTTCTTGATGTCGAGCTTGAATTGGGGCGGGGGATTACTCTCATTCGATGCGCTGGTTTGCTTAGGACATGATTCTATACGAACAACCGGCCAACACTCACAGACTCGCTTCTCGTTCTGCTTCCGTGATCGCATCAATGGCAGATGGAGGTACGGAAAAGCCCTCGGAGTCCTTCTCAGGCTGTGCGCTCGGGTCAGTGTCCACTTTGTGGAATAGTAAAGTTGGGCTTGGTACCTCTGGCTTAGTCTCAGGCGGTGGAGGTGGCGACAGCGGCTCCTTCAGCTCGGGGATAGTGTCGTGTATCGTTCCGTTGATAGCACTAGAGCTAGGCGCAGCCTCTGCAGCTGGTTCAGGGCTTGTTCCATTCGGTCTGTCGTTGGACTGTCGTGTCTGCTTTGGCGAGCTGGAGGCATCCGATGCTCGCGGCGTTGACGAAAGCCTCCTGAGGGGTGATACGGGACGATCCGACGAGGATCCGGGAGCCTCACGGTCCTTTGCCTTGCCTTTGCCGAATCCACCAAATGCTGCGCCTAGGTTCGAGGATGACTTCCTTTCCGGTGATGATGCTCTTCCATACGGGTGCATACTCTGTCTCCGGCGACCAAGGACTGTACCAAATCGTTTGAGAGGATTTGAGCTGTGCTTCGCTTCTGGTGCTACAACGAGATCAACCAACGTTGTGGTGAAGGGTCCGACAAACATACCTGAGCCACTCTTTTGGCTTCTATCGTCGTCTGCCTGAATCGAAGGAGTTGCAGGGACCGGTGGTGGTGCTAAGTGCCTTGATGGTGTCCCCACGCTGCTACCTTTCCGGCTGGCGTGCGGCTTCTCTCCGCTCCGCATTCTCAAGGCCCAGGTATGGATTTCGTCAGCGGTCTCGATGTTGAGCAGCACGTTTAATGTCTCCTCTGCGCTGATGCGGTTTCGCTCTACTTGATCGACTTCGTGGGTCTGAAACTGGGTGAGGGCGTCGCGGAGGTGGTTGAGCCTGCTTTCGTCCACGGCCTGCAGCTTCTCAAAAACGTACGGAGCCTGGGATTCCCACTGCAGGGTGGCATTTTCGACCTCCGCGACTGCGTTGGCAACAGAGGAAGCCTTGGCCTTTGCGCCTTTGTCCCGCAACTTGTCTGACTTCTTCTTAGCCGTGTCAATGTCGCGCGCCATTGCCGCAAGGTTCCCCGAGATGGTCGACATGGCTTGGACTTCTCGGTTCGTCGCAGCGAACTCTCGCAACGGGCGCTCGACGTCGGCCTCGATTTTCTGCGCTAGGTGGTGGTGCGATTCGGCGACAGCCTCGGTGGCAGCGACAATCTTCTGCCATGGCGTCGAGAAGATGCTGCACTGCGTCAGCACCCGGGATCTCTATAGACAGGACTTCGCCATGACTGTACCCTAGATCCGAAGATTCATCGGGAGGATGCTTGTTCGCCAGTTTCCGCAGGCCTTGGACGTAGGCTTCTTCCACTCGGCGCCGTTCCTGCTCATCCATAAGCAATCCGCACAGTATGCGCTTGAGAGGTGGCGCTGACCTGCAGCCAGTCCGCAATCTGCGCATTCAGGTGGCTGACATGTTTCATTCGGTCATTGAGGATGTGTACGGCTTGCGCGGGCGGGAGGGAGTCCTGCGACTGGTAAGCGGAAGGGCTGGGAAGGTGCGGGCGACGGTCGTACCAGCAATGCTGGGTACTCTTTGCGTTGGAGCTCCATGGCGGGGATGCGGGGAAGGACGGCGCCGCCACGAAGGAGCGGTTCGGAGTGTTTACATAGAAATACACTTTTGGGAGCTGCTCGGGGGTTGCGGAGCTGTCACGATGTCGACTGCGTTGGCGTCCCTGTCCGCTTCAGGCCTAGACCAAAGCCGCAGAATCGGCCAGGATCGACGTCGAATACAACTCGACGGCGACGGCTGGGGGGTGATTAGATGATGCGCCGCCGACCTGGGCACCTGCGGAAGCCTTTTGCGATACTTGGGAGAACCGGTCCTTTCTGCTTGCGCCCGCGCGGAGTAGGGGCGAACAAGCTCAGTCTGCTCCCGGCCGAGTCTCGGCATGCTCCGACCTCTTACAGCGAGGCGCTCCCCATCCGAAAATCACCACATTCACTCCGTACAAAGGTCGACCCTTTGATCTAATGGCTTCTGCGGGTTGGCATGCTGCATTGGGATTCTCGAGACGACTATCTGCTGTCACAAAAATGCAAGTAACATCCACTCATGCAAGATTGGGAGAGGTAGCTTGCAAGGAACACCTCGTAAGAGATTCTCTTACCGCTTCAGTCTCCGAGCAGGCGTTGGGCAGCATTGAATTTTCGATAAGATTGCGGGCGTACTCATGATCCTCTTGTAGCACCGAACGTCCTGGTCGACAGCTAGCTTCCCATGTCTTCTACATCTCCATACCCCCATCGAACTCTGAGCTGTCACAATGATCCACAAGCGTTTCTAACTATTTCAAGTCCGCTCTAACCACGGCACAGAACATCCGCATACCAGAAGTCCAACCCCGCAGCCTCGGCAGCAGACGCTCGTCGGGAAGCGACGTTACTAGAAACTAAAATCTACGACGAGGCACAATCGACTGTATGATCGGCGCTCGTACCATCCGCTTGATACATCCTAGTTGACCACCACTCAGGAAGACTACGAGCGAATTTGTGAGGAGAGGATAGCGAGCTTCAAACCGCCCGCGCTAGAGTTCCCTACCTCAGAAGTAACACTAGCCATGCTCTAGATGGATGGAATCTATGCTAACCAGTGTCAGGACGAAGATTACGTGCCGACGCCGACCGGACTGGATATCGGCCGGTACAAGGACGCCGTCTACTACCGAGAAGGGCTGTTCTCGGCGATCTACAAGGCTGCCGCTCCAGAAGATGAAGGCTACTTTCCTCCAGAAACCCCACCAAAAAAGAGGCTGGTCGCCCTCAAAGTGACTACCCCTTCCATGATGGAACCTCCTCACGATTCCAAACGAGAAGCTAGGATCCTAGGTATCTCAGCATCTGACCATGTGATACCGCTTTTTGAAAGCTTCCGCGAGGCTGGCACTCGATTTGTTCTTGTCTTGCCTTTCATGCCACACGACTTCAACCAGCTATTGCAGGATGACAGGCTATCACAGGGGCAGATCAAGCACTGCCTGAGAGACATGTTCTCGGCGCTGGCCTTCGTACATAAAAAAGGAATCATCCACAGAGACGTCAAACCATCCAACATCTTACTGAAATCGCTGGACGGACCGGCCTATTTGTCAGACTTCGGCATCGCGTGGGCTCCAGATGCCATCGGTTCGGAAGCGGCAGATTCTAAGATCACGGATGTCGGTACCACCTGCTACAGACCGCCGGAGCTTCTTTTCGGCAATAAGCGATATGGATGCAGCCTCGATCTCTGGGCCGCTGGTTGCACCGTTGCCGAGGCTCTGGTGCCCGAACATCCGACTTTGTTCGACTCCGGCGAGCTTGGGAGTGATCTTGCGTTGATACAGAGCATGTTCAAGAAATTGGGAACGCCGAATTTAACAGTCTGGCCTGTAAGCTTCTTCGAAATGTTATCACATTCCTGCAAACTGATTTCTTGTAGGAAGCAGAGAGTCTTCCGGACTGGGGGAAGGTGCAATTCCACGAATATCCCGCGCAGTCGTGGTCAGCCCTACTCCCTAGTGTTTCCGACGTTGAGCAAGAACTTGTCAGCAAGTTGGTCCGATATGAAAGCGGGGAAAGGATGACGGCATCTCAGGTAAGAATGAGAGGTGGTTGAGATTGATTGGCTAATTATCAAACTAGGCGCTGGATCATCCATACTTTGCGCAATGAGCCCAAGGCTATCGGCATTCCTTTTTCGGGTCATATCGGTTGCTAATAGAAGCTGTAAGTATCCAAGTGAGCTCCAAGAGATCATAACATGACGCTTGCGCGACATCTGTTGGCGTGCTGGTAACTCGGCCGCGAGTGGGTCTGATCTCAGCCTCACGACGTCTCCGAAACTCTTCCGGATGACCTCATCAAACCTGACTTTTGCTGGCGCAAAGATGTGCATATAGCAGTCTGATGGAGTCCCAAAGATAGCATAATAGAACATTGCGCAGCCGTTCAATATATGTATGTATGCCCTGGGTAGATGTGATTGGCCAGCGAGGCGCCGTTTGGGCGATTAGAGCATACTTTCCTCTTTCGGATTGGCTCGCCGTTAGCGCGCATGCAGACTGGGGCACCCTTGAATACACCATCGCCGTGGTGAAGGGACAACAGACCCCACGACGCCCTTGTTGTGTACAACATCCGCCCGCCCTAAGCATAGATCGCACCACCAAACTCCTGCATGTCGTCGCCGTCAATATAGCCAGCTGAGAAGCTCTAGCGGCGTTTCACCAGGCCCCGCGTTTCCTACCATCCCACTCCCGATCTTCGCGGGAGCAGCGCAGCTCCCTACTCCCAAGCATGGCGTTTCTGTTTAGGAATAAACAAAAGAGCCATCCGGAGCTCGTGAAGTCTACCAAGGAGCTGACGGTCCGGCTGAGCGAGGATGCGAAGCCAAATCCAAAGGTCCGCTGCTCTTCGCTGGTGCATTCAACTTCGAGGCTGACGACACCCCCTAGGTAGAGGAGGAGCTTGCCCGGGACCTCCAGCAGATGAAGATCAGGCTTCAAGGCACACCGGGTACCGCTCTTCTCTCTTTAACAGCTCCGGCACATCCTCCAATTGTCCTACAAGCTGCCAAAGCTCCGGGCGCTGACGGCTCCGCAGAAGCAGAAGTCAACACCGAATCGGTTTTCCAGCTCCTGAGCTACATCATCCAAGAAGACCTCCTCTACCTCTTAGCGAACAACATCCACAAGCTCCCCTTCGAATCGCGCAAAGATGCCCAAGTCATCTTCTCTACCGCATTCCGCTACAAGCCCGCGGGGGCTTCCGATCCACAAGTGCTGCACCATGTAATACAATACAGGCCAGAAATAATTATAGCGCTATGCAGAGGATACGATCGACGCGAAAGTGCTATGCCGTGCGGCGGCGTGCTGCGTGAAGCCCTTAAGTACGACTCCATCGCCGCCCTCCTGCTATACGACGAGCCAACATCGGACGGGAAGACCCGAGATCTGGCGAGCGTCAATCCGGACATACCATCTTCGGGGCAGGGCGTCTTCTGGAGGTTCTTTGACTGGATAGACAAGGGCGCATTCGAAGTCAGCGCGGATGCGTTCAACACCTTCAGAGTATGACAATCCGACAGGGCTGTCTGGACGTGGACTAACTATTCGCTTCGTAGGACATCCTCACAAAGCATAAAGCGCTTGTTGCCGCCTATCTGCAAACGAACTTCGACATGTTCTTCTCCAAATACAACAATGTCCTGATACAGTCGGAAAGCTACGTTACGAAGCGGCAGTCAATTAAGCTCCTGGGCGAAATATTACTCGACCGAGCGAACTACAGCGTCATGACGCAATATGTGGACTCTGGGGAGCACCTCAAGATCATCATGAAGCTGCTGCGGGACGACAGACGGATGATCAACTACGAGGGTTTCCATGTGTTCAAAGTAGGTGACACCCCTTTTGCCAGTCTGACGAGTCGGCTTACGCCAGCAGGTATTCGTCGCCAACCCCAACAAATCAATAGCCGTTCAAAGAATCCTGATCAGCAATCGCGAGAAACTGCTTCGCTTCCTCCCGGGTTTTCTGGACGATCGCACCGAAGACGAGCAATTCATAGATGAGAAGAGTTTCCTCATTCGGCAGATCGAACAGCTGCCTCCTGCACCTGTTCCGCCGCAAGCAGCGTCCTAGTCTCCACCATTTTCTTCATTGTTGATATCCTTGTTGCTTTGGCTCTGCATGGGACGGAGTTTGATTTGGCCTTGGATTTGATTACCCAGGGGCATCTCCACAGCGCTGCTGGCGTTCTGTTGCATAACTAGATATCTTGACGAGAGCCAAAGTATCACACGCGTCCGTTCGCATCGGCGAAGAGGGAATAGATGGTAGATAATTGGCCAAGCTCGGAAAACCGAGTAGATGGTGTGCCCCTGCACGTGATCGGATGGCGAGTGAGTGAATCAAGTACGTCAGGCGCAAAGAGCCACGGCACTCTATTTACGAGACTTCTCCCACTATCATAACGTACAGTATTCCACTGCTCGTACAGGTGCCGGATTTATTTGTATAATTCAAGCTTGTTAAGGCACGCGACGACGTTCCACCAGCGTCCAAGCGCGCGTCCACCCCCTAGCTGTTGGAGTGTTACAGCTAGCGGGCGAAGGACATCCGAACGCACCTACGGCTCCAAACCCGCTGAAGCTGCTCCTTGTAACGTACCTGCAGGCGAGGCACGAAGCTCCTCTCTGTTTAACCCCTAATGATACCCGCGTCGTCCAATCCAGGGCGTGCCGTGTGATCCACCGCCAAGCCCCCCGGACGCCGCTAAAGCATCATCACAGCGCACCTGCCATGGTCGACTCGGTTGCACGCTGGCTCGAGGACCATGCTTCAAAACCTCCTGTGGCCCCAGACACGCTGCATCCAGCCGATGAATTCCCCCTCGCGACCTTCTCGAACCCCCCTTCCTTATCCGGCTCTGAGTTCGACAGCGACGGCGACGGCGACGGCGACACTTTGCACGTCCCTCGCACGAACATCGCATCCCTGATCCGCCCTCCTACCCCCAATATTATGGAGGACCAGCCGGCTGCCAACCACGCCCGACGACGCTCCTCCTCTCTCGCCGGCGCCTCAGGATCTACAAAGAAAGATTCGCGGAAGCACCGGAGACGCCGGTCCGACAACATCCTCGAAGAGGGCGAGGACAAGTCGTCTGACAGCGAGCACTCTGACTCGTCGGAGAAGACGGAGAGCGACGACTTTGAGCTTGACGACATGAGCGGAGACGGCCTCGAAGACGACGAGGAGACGGGATTAACGGGGAGGGACAGGCGGCGGAGAAGGCGGAGGAAGAGGAGGAACACATTGCTCGACCAGCGTGTCGTCCAGGACGTCAAGTTCACAAAGGAAGAAGAGAAAGTCGCAAATCAGGACTTCCTCAGGTCTATGCTCATCAATACCCTGCTGATTGGGCTATGGTGAGCCCTCCTCGTCTGGAACTGGAGCACCCGTGCTAATTCACGCAGGTATCTCTTTTCTATCTCGATTTCCGTTTACAACAAGTGGATGTTCAAGGAAGATAAAGGCGACGGAGAGGCGGAGAACATCTTCCCATTCCCGCTGTTTACGACCTGTCTGCATATGATTGTACAGTTTTCGCTCGCATCTCTAGTGCTGTTCTTGATACCCTCGTTCCGACCTCGACACGATTCTCTCAACCCTCATGCTCCTCGCGCCGAGCCGATAGACCCGAAGAAGCCACTCATGACAAGGTGGTTTTACCTGAGCCGCATCGGTCCCTGCGGAGTTGCGACTGGCATGGACATTGGGCTGGGCAACACCAGCTTGAAGTTCATTTCCTTGACATTCTTCAGTGAGTCCATCCAAGTTAATGGCTCCTACCGTGTGTTAACGATGGCCTAGCTATGTGCAAATCTTCCGCTCTCGGCTTCGTTCTTCTGTTCGCATTCCTTTTCCGATTAGAACAACCCTCTTGGCGGCTTGTTGGCATAATCGCCATCATGACAGTGGGCGTCATCATGATGGTCGCTGGCGAGGCCGCCTTCGACGCTCTAGGCTTCATCCTCGTCATGTCTTCGGCTTGCTCCTCCGGTTTCCGCTGGTCCCTGACCCAGATACTGCTCCTCCGCAACCCGGCTACTGCGAATCCCTTCTCATCAATCTTCTTCTTGGCTCCGGTCATGTTCCTCAGCCTGTTCGTCCTGGCTGTCCCCGTCGAAGGATTCCCTGCTCTGATTGACGGTCTGACAAGATTATTCGAGATGAAAGGCACACTTCTTGGAATCGGCATCCTACTTTTCCCTGGATGCCTCGCGTTCTTGATGACCTCTTCTGAATTCGCTCTGTTGAAGCGAACAAGCGTCGTCACGCTCAGTATTTGCGGGATCTTCAAAGAAGTCGTTACCATCACGACAGCGAACCTTGTTTTCCACGACCCGCTTACACCCATCAACCTCACCGGTCTCGTTGTGACAATTGGCAGCATTGCTGCCTACAACTACATGAAAATCAAGAAAATGCGGGATGACGCGAGGATGAATGCGCGTATAGCGGCACAGGACGAATACGCTCCGATAAGCACCCGGGATCCGGATGTTGATAGAGGAGGCAGCACACAGACGACTGGAGCGAGCACAAGAGGGTTAATGCGGGACAACTTAACCCTCGCGCCCGGTGTGGCTGTAGACAGGCCTGCCATCGACAGTCCAACAAGGGCATCGCCAGTCAAGAGGCCAGAGGACTTAGAATAGGACATGCGGGCGTACAGTAATCTCTTTTCTCGGATTCAAGAATATACCCTGCTCGCCTCGGCACATAGGGAGTCCTTCGCATTTGAAAGCATCATCGGCGTTTTGTTTGTCTGGATAGGTGATACCTAGGTGTCCGATGTCCGCGGCGCAGTATATACTGGAATACAGCCAAAACGGCCGCTGCATGGAGCAGCTAACAACCTCGCTTCTGTCCACTTTCGTTATGACACTTCTTGTAATAGCCGGTGCAAGAGTGAGAGTCCGCTAATTTTCTAATAGGATGGCCCACTCCAGACGCTAGCTCCAGTGCATGCATACACTCGAGTGCGACCGGTGCGTAGGCTGCCGGCGGCTAGAGGCTTGAGCAAGAGACCAGATTCCTATTTGTTCACCGCTTTACGATCCGCTGTCCTAGAGCGATGTGCACGAAGTAGTGAGACCTTGGGAAGGATGAAGAGATGGACGTTAGTGAGCCAAAGTCTTTGCTGTGGGAGACTAGACCTACCGTGTTTTTTTGCCTTGGAAGTCCCGTTCTGACCGTCTCGGCTACTCTTGTCTTCTAGGGCGATCGCAGGCCTCGGGCAACAAATTATCCAGCCAACAAACTTCACAACAGTTTCTGTCCGGACTTGGAATCTCGCTTCTTTATCTGGCTCTTCGGTTGTCCAGTTCTCTCCAGAACATTTTTCCCTCCTTCTTTTCATGAGCCTCCTAGACGAGCTATCCCCTTACCTTCTTACCACGACTTGCACCGGCGCTCCTCGCTTGAACCCCTTTGAACTCCTTTCGACGCAATATCCGTAGGTCTAGCACCGGCTCTTCTTCATATTCGTTCATGCAGCTAATGTTCAACACTAGGGAGGATCCACAAAGGAGTGCGATCATCCCAAGCAACCATGTCGCCCAACCTACAGTTCGATTCCGACTGGCGTATCCAGCGCTTCAAGGACGACCTACAGGAGCTTCACAACATGTCCATCCTAAAGGAAAACCTTGTTCAACTAGATGTATGGTCTGCGAGACCTGCACTTCCCCCCAAACCCGAGCCTTCGCATGAGCGCGATCCCTATGATGAGCAGGAGCCCTTTCTGAATCCTTACAATATTTATACTACACAAGGCCTTTTCTGCACCATATACAAGACGGTTCGCAGCCATCACTCCGAATCCATGTGGCGCCGGCTCCCGAAATCATTGAAGCACCCTTTCTTCCGCGCGTCCAAAGCTGGCTATAAAGTCCGCGAGCTCACTTATTTCGGCATCACCGCCTGGGAGTCATTCCCACAGATCCGGCAAGACTACTTCCTGCGCTCCCTCCATGATGTCCTGGCTACTGGTTTTCCTATGAAGCTAATTTCCTCCGCACTGAAGTTGAATGAAAGACTGAGGAAGGAGCTGCGGTTCAATGAGCCGGATCTCGACTTTGCGGCATTTGAGCGCTTCGTACACGCTTGGGGTGGGATCGGACGCTCCGCGGATAAGCCGGCGTTGGAGAAGAGTTTGACGGCTTTGCTGGGGTTGGTGGGCGGAGAAAAAGGAATGCATCCAGCGCACAAAGAGCATACCCCGTGAGTAGTCCTCTTCGACTTCATTTTTTCGGATTCGATGCCGACTAATCTCACTGCAACAAAAGAGGCGTATAGATTCCGCTAACATAAAGCGAGTAGGCTAGCATTCACGACCGTCTTGGGGAAAGGAAAATATCGCTGCACGCCCGCCCTTCTTCTCAATGTCACAGACGCATATGGTCTCGCCCCACGCGTTGCGGTCTTCGATTTGCCGGAACAGTACATGAACCAAGGGCTGAAGCAATTTGAGGCTCTGTACGCGCTTGCTAACGGCGCGGGTCATCCCAAACGCGAGAAATACCATGTATGTCTTCTTGTCCTGCCCCTTAGCCCCTAATGGGCCACTGATGTCAGAGTAGGTCACAGCGATATTCCGCGTCAATTCCCGCGCCAGCGTCCGCATCCTAACCGCCTTCTTTACCCCGTCCTGGCTGCACTACACGAGCTCCTCCAGCGAAGTTGTAAGAGCGCACGCGCCTCCTATCGACGGCCGGTGCATTCTGCCGCCCGACGCTACGTGCCACATCACGTATACACCATGGATCCCGCTCTTCCCGCAACACCATGATATCCAGCAGTGGAAAACGGAGCGCAAGGACAAGATCACGGATCCCGACTTAAAAACCAACCAGGATAAGTGCTTGATGCCGAGCACCGCGCAGGAGAGAGAGGGACATATTAGGCTTTTGGGGGCGTTACTAGGGCCTTTTAGTGAGGCGTTGGGAGACATGTGGAGGGGGAAAGGGGGAGCGCAGGCGTTCATCTGTGAGCAGGTTATAGGGATAGCGGAGGAGAAGTTGAGGATGGAGGAGGGGAGTGAGGAAGGAGAGGATAGTGAGTGATGCTGGGAGTGGGAGTATCGCGTGATGGGCGGATGCGATCTGGGGATTGGTCCTACACCTGCTTGAACCTGTGCTTTGGAACATATAGAGGATGAAGCGTCTGCATCGTAGTTTCACGCATTATGGCGTATAGATTGGTAATAATTCCGTAATTGTACGGCTTGGGCTGAAGTCTTTGAGATATCTAGATTAGCGGGTCAAAGCTGCACGCCTTGGCACGTGACAACAACGGCATGGCGTGGTCTTTCCTACCCCAGAGGATAGTCTACCCCGCAGAATATATGCACTTCGGCAGCCCCTTCGATATGCATACCTCCGAAGGCACATCGCGGAATAGCCCCTCATCTGATCAATCTGATTACGCCGCCACCCATCTGATTGGCCACAATCTCCAGGGGTCATTGTCGTCATCGAAGGTTCATGCTCCGCGAGCTACCGCGGCAGCTCCGCACGCATTACCAAGCCAACCGGCCCCATAAACCTCAACACCCGCAATTACTTCTCGTTGGCCTTTTGAACCACTCCTCGAGTCTGGAAGAACCACTATTAGAGACACTATGGCATCCGCGACCGGAATACCTGAGGATTATAATGCTGCGAGGGGCGCGGGCGAGGAGGAGCCACTACTTGGACAGAGAGGTGATGCGAGTCAAATGGAAGGACAGCCGCTTTTTATGAATCTTTGGCTGGGTATGTATCTAGAACGATGCGGAAGGCATTGGAGGTTATGAAGAGACGCTTGGCTAATTTGTGGGATAGGCACAGCACCGCTGGCCCAGGCAGGTATTTGGATTGTGAGTTGCAGAAGGCACCAGCTTCACAGTACAGCTACTGACGGAACAACAGCTTGCAGCAATAGTATGGGGAGCTATATTCTCTCATGACATGATATTCTTCTCTGCGCATCCGGTAAGACTCCAGCGTTCTCAGTATCTCGACCTCAGCTAACGACGCTCACAGCTCCTCAACTCCGTAAGCAGCTCACATGGCTCCCCGCGGCCTCTCTAGACATGCAATACTCACACATTGCAGGCGGGCCTCCTCCTTGTAACCCAAGCAGCCCTCATCCTCCAACCCACCCACACCCCCGCCCAAAAGCGTGCCGGCACCCTCTTCCACTCTCTCTTCCACCTCTTCGGCATCTCCTCCCTCCTCACGGGCCTCATAATCATCGAGATCAACAAGCGCGGCCCGGGCCACGAGCACTTCGAGTCCCCGCACGCTATCCTCGGCCTCATCTTCTACATCTGCATCTTCCTGCAAGCTTTCGTTGGCTTCACCCAATACTACACGCCAGGCATCTACGGCGGCATTGACAATGCGAAGAAGATCTGGAAATACCACAGAATGACCGGCTATGTGATTGCTACGATTGGGCTGGCCACCGTTTGTGCGGCGACTTGGACCACGTATAATGTGTATGTGTTGCACATGCAGCATTGGGCAGTTATTGTGGCTGCTGTGTTCGTGCTGTTGGGCGTGGTGCCGAGGATTAAGCTGTCAAAGTTTGGGTTCAAGAAAGATTACCAGGGACGGGAGAGGCTGGGGTCGTAGCACCTCCAGCGTGGACGGTGATCGATGAGCAGCGGAAAAAGAACCTTGCATTCACGAACGCGCGATGAGTTAGCGGGTAATGAAGTGGCATTTTTCCTTGGGATTACTGCATTTAAGACTTCCGTGCCAGGAACATAGGGTCTGGCGTAGCATTGTGGGCGCTCTTTTACTTCCTTCCTGCCTTTTCCACGGTTTTCTTATTTCTCTCCGGGAATGGAGTATTGGACATCCTTGCATTTTAGTACCATTAATTCTCCAATTTACGAGCCAGTGGTGTGTTGTCCCAATATGGAAACCCTACACGTGGATTTCCCGAATTTTCCCCCTTGGTACATCCCCTCCATTCCTTGGGCCAACCAACCAGCCACCAGCAAGAATTCAAAGCATGCGTCACGCGAGCTCATCATGATGCAGTATAAGGACGAGGGGAAGTAATGAACTCCATTGCCAGCTAAGTACGAGGAAAGAAAATGCTCGCCGCAACTCTACGCCTCACCCGCCGAACAACCATCATCCTATCCCGGCTGCTCGCCAATACAAAATGGGCACTCCGCTTCGCTACCATTACCCTCCCGTTTCGGCTCCCGAAATCCATTCTTCTTCACCTCGCATACCGATTTCGGCTGATCAAGAAACAACCGGATAAGACCCAGCATGCTGCTTCGAAACCAGCACACCACCACCCCAGACGCAGACGCAGATCCTCCTCGGTGCACGTCGCGCAGTCTCTTGTGGTTGTCTTCGTCGTGTTCGTCGTGTCGGCGAGTGTTTACGCGTACCATTTGAGGCGCGAGAGGAAGGAGAAGAGGGCCAGGTGGGTGCAGATGCGGAATGCTGTGGAGGAGATGGAGAGGGCGGAGCGGATGGGCGCTGATGCTGAGTTCTTGGTGCTGGAGGAGGAGGAGATTGTGGATTAGGCAGGGGAGAGGATGGGAGTCTGGGTGCGGGTAAAAGGTTAGGAAAGGGAAGGAGACATTTGGTCTTCATATTGGACGAGTATCTGAGCGGGAGAATGGTCAACACGGCATTGGCGTTTCGGGAGCTATCCGGGATCTCTTCACGGCTGTGAGACGGACTGAATCGAGAATTGCGAGCTTTTAGTTCTGTTTCTCGGTTTTCGACTTTCGACTTTCCACTTAGGGGGCTGCATCACTCGGGATACTCAGGAAGCGGAATCTTTCCCGTACCTGTTCACAACATTGCTATATGCGAAATGGCATGGAGGGCGCGAGGTGGACGACAGGGGAAGAAGAAAATTGTATACAGGACTCGTTGGATCGGCAAGGACTTCGTATCCAAGATCACAGTCGAGGATGTCTTGAATCCATGTGTTGGATGCAGCCTAATCGATAACTCCGCCCACACATTCTCGGAGTATCCCGAGTTACGAGGTTCCCTCCTTTGCGTTCGATGGAGCAATGTCTCGTCTTAACCGCCCCGGGTCTGACCGCGCTGTATGTGAATTGCGGGCCTCTTTCGCTCTCTGAACCAGCTGCTTGCAAACACTCCGCCAACCACACCTCGACACCCCTAACAGCGTACATATCTCTCATCGTCAGACCAAGTTGTCCATAGATTTTATCGAAGTGTTTTCTCACGGATATCGCAGCTGCATCCTTCCCGAAAACCTCTTTCTACTCCAATTCAAAAAATCGCTTCAGATCGCCTCACTGCACAGTAACAACTTCGCGTTTTCACGGCCTTGTTTGTTCCACTAACTCAGCAGCGTGCTATTGACGTGGTCGGTCAACGTCCGCTTCACCAGACACTCATTCGTCGTTCCATACTCGTCACCCGGATATAAGGGTTGGCGTTCGCACTGTCTGTCACGTCTACACACCAACACTCACTGCTGCCTCCATGCTTCACGGCCTGCAGCTGTTTTAGGCTCTTCAATGCTCACTCACAGTATGGCCGTATATAAGAGGGGGCTCTTCTATTTCCTGTGGATTATCCCGACCCTTCATTCGTTGCCTTCAGTATCTGCGATCTGCCAGCTTCCGACGGAGCATACAGCACCTAGCGTTCGTCAAGAGCATCCATTCTAGTCAAAGCCCCTGATATACTTTTCCACCTCCCACCACATCACTCCAATATTTTCCACGAATGTCCGGCCCGCCGCTCGGTCACCCCTGGCCCGTCAACGTAGGCAACAACCCCACCATCGCGCGCGAATTCCCTCCCGGCGTGGCTCCCCCCGGTGGCGCTCCCGGCCCCGTTCCCGTCCAGCAACAAGTCCACGTGCAGCACGGCGTCCCGGCGGCCCAAGTCGTCGTCGAGCAGCACCACATTCCCGCCGTCGGCGTCGGCTTCGGCGTCGGCCACCCTATGCCCTTTGGCCCCATGTACGGCGGCGGCTTCGGCGTCCAGAGTGCGGGTCCCCTGGCTCCGCCTAGGATGCCGTGGAACACTGCTGGGATGTTCGGGAATCCGATCCCGGGGCTGGCGGCTATGGGTGTCGGATTACCGCCGCCGCCGCCTTTCTTCGCGGGAGGCGCCGTACCGCCGTTCGCGCCAGGAGGGCCGGTCTGGGCCGGCGGCGTTGCACCGGGCTTGGGCGTCGGGATGATGGGTGGTATGGGTATGGGAATGGGAATGGGAGGTTTCTTCCCCGGCATGCACCGTCCCGCGCCTGGCATGATCGCCGAAGCCATAGCCCCCGAGCAGCCGCCTCAAGGCGACATCACGCAAATCGGCGGCGGCGTGCCGCCGGGCGCGACGCACGTCGAGTCCAGTGAGCACACCATCATCCACCTGCTCAAGGGGCCTGTGTACCCCTGGGTGAACCACGGGATGCCGATGGAGGTCGAGATCCTGCACATGGCGTCCACGACGAGCATCAACCGACTGATCCAGATCTGCAATAACAACAGTCCGGATAACGAGGGGTTCGCGATCAGCGAGTGCCACGAGATGGTGAACGGGATGTGGGAGAAGGGGCAGACGTTTGTGTTTGACGATGCGATGAGTCGGGTGCTGACGATTAAGGATGCGGGGTGGGATAATCAGAGGAATCGGACCGGTGGGCAGAGTTTGCATATCTTCTTGCATAGGGTGTAGGGGAGGGGTGGTGAGAGTTGAGAGGGAGGCGGTGGGGAGGTCGGGCAGCAAAATTGTTTGCTGCAAGACACTTTGATTCTGTGGGCTCAGGTCGACAGTGTGGATCGATATGCTGCTTTGAATATAGATATCGCCTAGTCTGGGTCGTGTTAGTCTGTGCGGACAGTGCGGATAGAGGCTCAACTCACTCTTCACGATCGGGCAAAGCGAAGTGTGATACGTCTTTCTACGGGGCTTCGGAGATCCCTTGGTCGTTGAGATTGGGGAATGCCAATCTGAGTGGGTTGGCGCAGTAGCTGTTGTATCTAGTTGCATTGCATTGGGGTATCTAAATCGAAAAGACTATGAACAGATGAGTATCTCTCGTATGTTGGTGTACTCACGCTCCACTCACAGAGATCCGAAAAAAATCACTACACAGTCTCCGCCCCCGAAGTCTGCGGCGTGATCGTCTTCAACTTGCACGCGCCCACTCTCCTCCACAGCTTCCCCAGCCACCTTTCCTTCACCATTTTGAGTATCAAATATGAAATCAGCCTGTACGCTATCGCGCAAATGCCGATTCCCATAAGGTTCATCTCGGGGTTCTTGTTGAGGTGATAGAGTTCTAGAGCCTGTTCGCCCGTCGTAATCGGACACTGACCGTTGATCCTCTGCCAGTCTTCGCAGGTGAAGTGCTGCCCACGGAGGGTGTATGGCGCCATGTTCGCCATGGCGTACTTGATTGGCGACAGGTGGTTGAAAGCTTGGAGGAAGGCTGGGATGTCCAGAGACATTACACCACCTGTTCACGATGTTAGGAAGGACTTCGGCAAGTCTATAGGAAAGCGGGCTCCACTTACCCATGATCTGCGCCACGGACAGGAAGACGCTCATGCAATTGACCGAGAAGCCGGTATGTGTAAAGAGTGTATTGAAAGAGATACCGAGGGATTCGCCGCAGCTGACGATGCAGAAAGCGTTGAAGGTGATGATAAAGAATGTCTGGGCGTTGCGCTCGAGACCACAGGCCAGACAAGCGAGGACGGAGAAGACGAGGCAGCTGACGATCTCGAATGGCACCTCTATGACGGTATAGGTGAGGAAGAATGCTTCAACTCCGTACACGCGGTCGTCGTAATCGCGGTAGAAAACTGGTGCGGTCAGCAACCCATATTAGGTCTCCCGAAGTGCTTCAAGGGGCAACATACCATCTCGCTCGCCTGGATAGACTGCAACGTTCTGAAGCACTGCCTGAGTGTCATTACGTGTGTCGCACTACGAAGACTGGGGTGAACTTACTTCCGACGAAATAAAGAGGCGCAATCTCAACCAAGAAGCCCAATCGATTCTGGACGGCGAAGTAATCATTCTTCAATGGCGCGAAATATAGTGATAGGACGATAGCTAAGCCTACGACCTGCATTATGCGCGCAACGAGCAGGTCAGGTTGTCGAAAGAAATTCTTCGTAGCCCTCCTGACTAGAATAGTGAAGGCTGAGGCGAACGACGCAGGAGCACGAGCCAAGCTTCCCAGCTCAGCAGGCGTTGCAATGGAGCGTATTCGAGCAGCGGGAAACATGTCGGATGTCCACGATTCGATGAGCCTCCGCACCTTGGCCCTGCTAGCAGCTTCTCGGGACTCGTGCTGGAGGTCGACGGTGATGAGGTCCAGGGCAAAGTCTGCTGGGTTTACATGACGGGGGCAGTGGTAGCCTTGCCCTGCAAAATGAGGAAGCATGCTCTGCGCAGGGCCTGCGTAGACCGGAGAGCCACCGCGGGCTAGAAGAAGGATGCTGCCGAAATGGGTGAAGATATCTGAGCGCGGTTGATGAATCGTGACCACTAAGGTGCGACTCTCGTTTGCCAGACCCCGGAGGACGTCCATGATTGATAGGGCTGTGAAGGCATCCAGACCTGACAAGGGCTCGTCGAGGAGTAGGATGCGAGGCTCGGTAAGGATCTGGACCGCGATAGTGACTCTGCGTTTCTCGCCGCCACTGATGCCTTTGATAAGATCGTTGCCGACCAGATTATCAGCACAGTCCTTCAAACCCATCTTCAACAGGATTTCCTCAGCCTTCTGGATCTTTTGCTCTTTCGACATCCACTTGGGCAACCGAAGACCAGCCGCATAGCGTAGTGTTTCGCGAACTGTGAGTGAAGCAAGCAGAGCATCGTCTTCCTGCGTAACGAACGAGCAAATGGCGTGAACCACGTCTTCGGATGGTGCTAGTCCGTTGAATGTCATGTTCCCATACTTCTTGTATCGCGTGGTCATGTCGTCCCTGAGTCGACCGGCCATACTATTCAGTAGAGTCGTCTTTCCAGAGCCCGACGGGCCCATGATGACGTTCAATGTTCCTGGTTGGAAATCAGCGGTGAGTGGCTTGAGGATAGTCTTCATAGTTCGATCCTTCAGCGAGCGCTTTTCGATATCGAGACCGTAACCTTCAAGTCGGATGTTGATTGTGCGAACCTCGCCTGGGGACCTGGTAGCCATCTTCTCTTTTCCGGCCGAAGCATCCGTGTTGGAAGGCCTCGCGCGAGCCATGGCGATTTCTGCACTCCAGAATTTGAGTAGTAATGCTGCGCCAAGATAGAATGCGATTGCAAAGCCCAAAAGCGCCAAAATAGGCCGCCAGACCCAGTCGCCAGGAAACCCGAGCGAGCTGAGGATGAACGAGCCAGTATATTCTTTACACGCCGGGTTCGACGGACCTCCTTCATAAGGGCAATCATAAAAGCGCTCTGTAAACTCGTTCGCGCAGAGTGCTCCGAAGGCGTAGAACTACGAGTGTCAGTGTCATTCGTCTTTCAATCTCGCCAACTCGAGCCATACCACGTAGGCAATCCACTTCGTCCATCTTGTGTATACGGGAATTGTATTGGACTGAATGAAGTAGCCGCATGCCATCGACTGAAGAGTGTATGCGAGATTGGCGACCAAGCTTGCCTGGAAGCCGTCAGTTAGAGAGGTTCTCAGAAGTTATGCCTAGTTTGTCTTACCCCTGCGAAATGCCTCGAGATCGCGATGCAGGTGGTCGCGAAGCATACCGCAATGTACTGCTCCAAAAGCATAACACCGAAGAATGTAAGGAATTCGCCACCATCGGTCTGGAAGCCAGTCATGAAGTAGAATATTAGGGAGAAGATCAGTGGCACTGGGACGTCTTCAATAGCGAATCGAGCCAGTCGTCTCGAGATCAGAAAGGCCGGTATTCCAACAACCCCTTGTCGCGACTCCTCATCAAACAGTTGAATGTCGGTTGTGAGCCGATAGGTTTCGTAGAGGAGGATCAGGTACCCTTGAAGGGCAGACGCGGTATACAGGGCGCCTTGACGGGAGCGGATACCGGACAGTGAGCCATCCAGCTGGAGGAAGATCCAGCCTGTAATGACAGACATGCCAATCGCTTCGACGAGACTTCCGAACATGCCCATGGGGTCACGGATGGTAACGATCCATGTACGCGCAGTGAGGACCCGAATCTGCTGCAGCAGTGACGTGTGCTTCGTTCTAAAAGCTTTAGATGATTGTCCGGTGACGGTGTTCGAGTCCTGCGCGTCTTTCTCTGTTGAAGCCTTCGAAGCATGCTCCCTCCACGCTTCTACTATGTGGTCTACCCGCGCTTGGGCGACAGTCTCGGCCTCCTCACTCCTATTGTCGACGCTCACGATGTCGATGAGATACTCTGCTGGGTTTGTAAAGGCGGGCACTTCATGTCCGAGTTTTGCGAAGTAGGGTAGACAGTCTTTGGCGCTGCCAGCATACGCAGGACTACCTTTTGTTAGGAGGATAATGGTGTCGAACAAGCTCCATATCTCGGAGCGAGGTTGGTGTACTATGGCAAGTTAGTCTCGAAGCTTTTATCAGAGGTGCGCGACTGAGGCCAGCACGTACTTGTGACTATGACCGTTCGTCCCTTACGAGCCAGGCTCTGAAGTGTCTTGACAACTTGATAGGCGGAGGTCGAATCGAGACCCGTTGTAGGCTCATCAAGCCACAGTAGGCTTGGATTTGACAGAAGCTGATGGGAGAGTTCAGCAGCTTTCTAGCCGGTATTGCTTCCATCTTCCACGTACCTGCACGCCAATGCTGGTGCGCCTCTTCTCTCCACCGCTACAACCGCGATGCTCGTGGTTTCCTATCCGGGTATCTGCTGCTTCCTTTAAGCCCAGCTCCATGATGACCTCTTCAACTAGCTGTTTTCTCTCGTCTTGACTGATGGACGGAGGCAGACGAAGTTGCGCGGCATAGGTTAGGGTCTCGCGAACCGTAAGCGTAGGAAGCAGAATATCCTGCTGAATCACATATGCGCTCCGGATCTTTGACGGATCTTCACTACCATTGAACAAGGTTCGGCCCGACACTGAAAGGCGATTCCCCTTCATGCGGCCACTCATCTGGTTGAGCAAAGATGTCTTGCCGCTCCCGCTCCCTCCAATGATTGCCGTGAGGGAGCCACTGGCCATTTCGGCCGAGATGCCGTCCAGTATCTTCTTGTCATGGCTGGCTCTGGCATCACGTGTTGACGGTCTGCTCCTCGCAAACAGTCTGACAAAGAGGTTCGGCGATTCATCGACAGAGACGGACAGGTGCTCTAGCCTGACGGATACAGGGTCCACTTCGCGCAGAGAGATTGCATTTTCGTCGACTGAGCCACTCGTCGTATTCGTCGCCACAGGGCGTATCGAGTCGGTGGTGGTCTGCGGGGTCTGTTGGATGCTCTCGTCCTGCTTTAGCCCTGGCGGGGTCCCTGTACGCCGCTTCTCGTCCTCCGCGGCGGCTTGACTGGTTCCCGGGGCCTCCATCATGGCCTTCAACGAAGACAGCAGAGGGGAGAGGTGTAGAAGGCATGGCAAGCTACACGGCGTTTGCGAGGCTGTTGAGCTCCAACACTCACGCTCGCTAGGCTGGATTTCGTAGTCCAACACTCAGTCCCTGCCTCGCTAAGCAAGCGAAGCTGTCTGCGGCGATCGCACTTTCCATCCTCGGCTGCAACGTTCCGGCAGTCACGAGACCGGGAGAGAGCTTGGGAGACAGCGGGGACATTTGCAAGGCGAGAGGTGTCTGTCCTGCACTTTTGACTGCAATGCGGATACTGCCCGAGCGTTGCGCCCCGATATCTATCAAGTAGCCCGATTGATCTGCGCCGTCTGCCACCCTCGCTTCCGCTCGAACCCTGGACGCCGCGCATTTGCACCGCCGAGCCTGTGCCGCCGCCCTCCACCACAACCTCCAGGGCTGTCTGGTGACACCTCGCCGGCCGTAACGTTCGAAATGCAGTTCATCGTGTTTTTCCTTTCTTTACACGATCACCGCTTCTGGGGTACGCCACTGCCGAGCGATCCAAGGCGGCTTCGGCACTTGGTGCGAATGATGCACCGGGGGCATGCTAGCACCAGTCGAGGTTGGGCAAGCGAAGGTGGACAGAGCATCTGAGAGTCGCACTCCGTGCAACGTCCCGTTGAGCCACCAATCACTGACCAGCGCACTCAGGGATTTACCTAGAAGGGTATTTCGCTACGTTCAACACAAACACGTGGACCACGCGTCTTGGAGGGGACCTCGGGACCCTCTGGCACCCTCACGAACCCCGATCGTCCCCCGATATTGTTGACGGATGTCCCGTCAGCTTCCTCGCGCTTCCGTAGACAAGGGATGGCGTGACAGATCGCCAGAATCATCGACGTGCATGACTGCGCGAGGCTGCCCGTACCGCCACTATCCCGCGCAGACAAGATGGTGGAGATGCCCTCGCCCACCCCGTGCACGTGTCTCAAATCAACCTGCTACGTCTGTAACTTCGGAAATATCTTCCATGTGCTATTATCCAACCGAGTCCAGCCCTAACGAACACCATGGCTGTTTACCACAAGAGTCTTGACGCCATTGACTTGATTTTAGGTCCTGCGACCCGGACTATGAACTGCTTGAACCCTTCGAGCAAGAAAAGGCGACTGCGCGCTCGGTTTCACGTGGATAAACGAGTTGGCTTCCCTAAGCAGCCACTCATATCCTGATTCGGCCACCCTCCATAACATCCCATAAGACGCCCTTAATTCCGGAACCCTCAAACGACATCCTATCGATTGCTCGGCTCAACGGCCTCAAATCCAGGTTCGCAGCGTGCATTACAGTTTGATTCCCTTAGCGTTTATTGCCTGGCACTCTAAAATTGCTGACTGTCCGTGTCAGCTTGATCAAGTGAGAGTAGATTGCTGCAGGTCCAACGCCATAGGGCTGTCCGCCGGGCGCCCGTATGACCACCAGAACCACCGTTCACACGGCTGGACTCGCACTGTAAGGAACGCCTCCCTCGTGGCCAAGCATTAGCTTGCTGACATCGGTGAGCGTCCCCGCGGCCTTGAATCTGGAGCGCATTGCTGCGTTATCTGGTGCTACCAGCTTAGCTGCAAGGGCCGCACTCCCGTCACCGATCATGATCACACAGATCGGAGGCCCGAACTTCCTGTCTCCACCGCAATACTGATTGCTGCTTTGGGGTACCGCTGATGCGCCATCCTTCTCATCAACGATCTAGATGCGCGCCGGGAATAAAGGACTTGCGGTGTGAGAGAGGACGTGAGGCCATGTAAATTCGCATTACCCGGTCATCCCGAAAGGTGAGGTCCAGCAACGAATCCGTCACATGTGCCCGCCTTTTGGAACCTTGAACCCTTAGCAGAGACAGCCACTACACACACGCGCGGCCATAGCGACCCAAAGATTTTCGCCGCGGTGGTCTGAGCAAAACGTCATCGGAGCGAAATTGCGCTACCTAGACCAAATGCGCAATAATACACATGATATGCTGAAGGATGGCATCACCGCTTGCAAGGTGAAACTGCCTGGTCCCAAAGCACGGAGGGTACCTTTGCGCTGGTATACGGTGTGGGGGACACGCAACGGCATCCCCCATTGAGCCTGGAGAAAGATCCCGAATATCCAGCGAAGCCGCACCCCTTATTACGCGCCTTTGCTCGCGGAGATCCTCCATGGGGGATTTGGAATGCGAAGAGGGCAAGAACGGCGAGCCTCACCGTCTACTGGTTCTGTCCTACTTAGCCGGAAGCGACTTCACCACCATAGATGGCCGCTACCCATGGTCCTGCCTACAGTATACGCAACCAAGGCTCCAAGCCGACCAAAGGGGACCCCCACGCGCTGCCGTAGCGCTGGAATGATTTTCATCACACCCCGTCGGTCCATTTATTTTCGTTGCGCTGCCCAGGTCCCTGACCCGATGCGCCCCTCCGCGTTTCTCCACAAATCTTCCCTGAGCACCGCCTGAGTCGCGAACCCGAACCCTTGCTGCTTCCCGCCGGCTAAATGCCGTCCGGCTGCACAGAAGCGCGCCCGCGAGCTTGCGCATCGTGCTTGACACGTTCGGTGGCTGCGCGGCCTGAGTCGACCGGACCAGCCGCACAGAAACGGGTCACCGAGGTGACGGGCGGCCGCGGTTAGGGAGAGCTGGAAGGGCGAGAGAGAAAGCGCAGGGATGCGTATTAGCATGATTGGAGGAACTTGTCATGCCGGCAGCGCCGGGAAGGGAATGGAAAGCGTAGCGCATTGTTTGCCGTGGTGACGAACACGGTTGTGTGCGGCGATGCGCAGAGCGGGAAAGGAGGTAGATAGAATAGGAGAGAGAGTGGTGAACGAGCTTGCATGAGAAGCCCACTAAATGCGTACATACGTGTCCAAATGTGTAGTGTTGTAGTGCATAACAGTATGAGGGAGACTGAAGCCAGTCAAGACCATGATGGTAGTCGTGCAACGTCGGACGCCTAACATATTCCCCTCCCTAAACACTTGCATATAAGGAAAAAGCAAAATCGTCCACAAAGGCATATAGAAAAGCGCATGGCAAGAAGTGGAGTGAGAAAAATGCGGAAAACGGGAGAAAGCCAAAGCCGTTTTTGACAAACCAAACCATATGATATACCACCCATGCTAAGGAAAATAGAAAGCGTGCCTGCCCAATGCAACCGGGGGAATCCACCCCTGGGGTGGGTGAACAGTTAGAACGCCCCATCCCTCCATAACCCAAGCCAAATAACAAGAGCACCAAGCAAACTCCAAATTTTCCAAGACCATAATAGCAAGGTGTGCAGAAAAGCCGGGCGAACCGAAAGAGAAGTGTGCGCGCGTGTGCAGCTGACGTGTGCCGTTCATGTCGCCAGGAAATCCCACCCTTTTTGGTTGATGATCTTCTCCCAGTCCCAGGACTCGTTATCCCCGGCATCCATTAGCTCCCATATCCTGTCGACCACTTCTTTCGCGAAGGTGATGTTGCCCAGGCCGGTGCATGCCATGAGCCCGCTGAAGGCGCGGTTGATTTCGATGCGTTGTTCTTCCTCGAAGGCGGCGCATCCGATTAGGAAGAGCGGTAGTAGGACGTTGCTTTGAATCCAGCCTTCTGCGGGCAGCTCGTTGATGTATTTGATGCCATCGTCCACGGCTGCTTTGATGTACGGGTGAGGCTGTGATTCCTTTGTTGTGCGATAGAGATAGACCCATGTGGCTTGCCGGTATAGCATGGAGAGCGTGTAGCGGGGCGTGCCGGGAGTCTGCGGACATGCCCAGCTGCGGAGACCGGTGTCGATAGCATGAGCCGCAATCAAAGCCTCGTAGTCCATGGTCGGTTCCAGATGGTTGTCGATCCGGGCGCGAAGTTTTCGCCGCAAGTTGCTGATCTTCGAAATGAATCCAAATAGACCATCCGATACGCCGATGAGGCCCGCCGTCTCGGGGTTGATCTTGAAAGGCAGACTGAAATTCTCCATCATGGGTACCTCGGCGCTGTCCATTGATGTAACTTGACTCGCAATCCAATGATAGTAGAAGAACTCGTCGAAGAGGCTCTGGAACTCCGGGTTCGCCAGCTTTTGGTTCATGGCGATCTGCTTGGCGGCGATCATATGCATCTTGTACTCGCCGGAGGTATTGCCATCGCAGATGGAGTGCAGCAGGTGGAGCAATATCTGAGCAACATTAGAATCTTCGTACACCATGACTCCTCCCTCGCCAGCCTTTTGCCGTTGCAGGTCGTGATTCAGTAAGTGCAAAGCCTTGCCGCGGTGGAACGCTTGTCTGTCCTCGTACTCCTGAGAAGGGTTGAGGGAGCAGAGGTGAGACGCCGACAGGCACAGCACGGAGTGCATCAAGCCTTCATGTCGCATGGCCATCGGCAGTAGTATCCTCGTGAAAGGGTTGGTCGATTTGTCGCCGTGGAGACTGAGTACGGCGCTAGCTCTGCCAGCGAAATGTTGCAGGAGCAGCCGGTCCAGGTCATTCTCCACTCCTTCCATGAGCGGCGGAAGCTCGAATTTCATGTCCATGCTCATTCTCCGTGCTATTCCACTGTCAGCATTGTGACGTGTTCGCCAAACGGCGTGCCCACCTTCTGCCGCCTTTTCCTTCCCGCTCCTCCATATTTCGACGGGTTTATAGCCTTCGCAGTGGATATTGTTCTTCTGGCAAGATAGACCTGTACCTAGTTAGTCCGCGTTCCACAACCCCGAAGAAAAGGGATAGTTACAGAATGGCTTGGTCTCGTCACACTTCTTTTTGCGCTTCCGACATGTTGTGCAGCCCGTTTTCGAACGTGCCTTTGCTTGCTTTGAAGCGGCGGTGGGCGAGCGGGGAGGATGTATCCGCGGTCGACCTCGTGCGCGTCGGAGTCGCACTGGTTCGGTCGGCGAGACTGGAGGTTCGTCGGATGCGGGCTCGGCCTTGACGTCTGCTAGTTGTAGCTCGGTTTCCTCGATCTTTGGGACGATCTCGTCCGAGCCGAAGCGCGAGTCTATCCGCGCCTCCGACTGCGTTTCTGAATTCGTGAGAACATTCGAGTCGAATGTGGGCGTATTAATGGGAGAGTCACTGCTGGACGACATGGAGGGTTGTGGAGAGGAGCTAATGCTCAGGCGAGCGTGCGCTGCCGGCGGCGGATGCCCGAAACTAAGCGTCGAGATCATTCGGACTGATGGGTACTGCGATCAATGGCTACCGTTCGTGGTAGGTAGACATTGGATGCCGAGGCCCTTCATGCAGACGGAGAAGTAGCACAGGCGAGGGGTGCCTCAGGAGCGGAGCGTTCAACCTGCAATGTCCAACAGCGCGAAGGGAGGAGGCGTATGTTAAAGAGACGCAACGAAAGCTGTGTCGCGCAGTGCTGCAGACGTGCAGGCCAACCGTCTGAAGAAATTCGTAGGTGAGATTGAAGAAAATCGGAGGGATCCACACGGTTCGCTTGAAGTGCTTCGAGCGATCGCAGGACGGCAACGTTGCGAAGGAAGCGGGGGGAAGTCGCCTTAGCGAGTCGTGGGCGCAGGTGTTGGGGCCAATAAGGTCCGGCGTGGAGAGAACAGCAGACGTCGCACAAAAATGTCTAAGGAGGACTTGGTGAGAGCAGAGCAGGCTCTAAGCAGGAAAGTGGTCGCAAGGAGACAAGGGGACACGCCCGCGTCGGTTGGAAGAGGAGGTGGAGCACCAGGGCAGACTCGCCTGCAGCCGTGCGGAGAGCGAGAGGCGTAGAGACGATCTGCTGAGCGGGGATGGAATACGCTTTATCGACTAGGGAGCGTAGGTAAAGTGCCGGGGCAGGGTGCGAGAGGGACCCCAGCCTGGTTGCACAACAAGTAGAGACGAAAAGATATAGAGAACAGAGTAAGTTAATGTAGCAATCCTGCTTCGGCAACAGCATCCCCTCACACGCGTGCAATGGGTGTGCCTAGCCGTTTCCACTGTGCTGGGCCGCGCTCTTATAAAACCGCAAGCATGGTGCCAACCGCAACTTTGTTGGAGGGGAGCTTTGGGCACGCAAAGGACAGTGTGGACGATTGCCCTCGGAGTGGTTTGAGGCCTGCACCATGGTCTCGTAAATGGACGCCGGCGTGAGCACTAGGTTCTGTGGATGGCTGCAATCTCTCGTGCCCGGGCGTATATAACGTGTAGAACAGAGGTGTATTGTATTGTACTCGCTTCACCCCGGCCCCCTAATGCGTTTGCCTCTTCCAGGGCCTGAACGCACACAGCTTCTGCTGCTTTGTTGGCTGAGATGGCTCAGCTGCGTCCACGGTGCTGGTGTCAACATGATGGACAGCGGGGAAGCTTGCCATGGTGTGAACGCTGCCGCAGCTGCTGCATCTCATCATTTGATTAGCCCGTCCGCCCACGGCCAAGGCCGGACTCGCTAGGGAGGCTTCCTGATCGCTGGCTTGCTTATTGACACAACCCAAACGCCATCAAAACGACGGCTGGACTCTCGAGTAGTTAGCGACAACGCGATCATCGCTGGTCTGGACTTCGGGAAATCAACCCCACAGCGCGCCATTATTTGCAGCATGCTGTGCTACTTTCCATATCGTATGGGACCACGAGCGGCCGCATCTCCCGCACTCCAGAGCTGCTTTCGAAGCGCAGGCGACACCGGAATGTCGCTCATCGAGTGAGATCGAATGCTGCATTTGTCACCTGGTCGGCATGAGAGCGATGACGAAGCTAGTCTAGCCGTGTCGAACGTTTGGAGCTTCAAGCCGCAGTCGAAGCATAGACCGCAAGGCGTCCTTGTCCTGGTCGTCTGTAGATCCTGGGGATAAGCACGGACCTTGCTAGGTCGGGCAGACAGCAACCGGCTTAAAGTTTGTTTGAGAGACGTGGATGGCGTGCCACTCCCCGCATGCACATGTGCCCGCTCCAAGCCATCAGCAAAAGCAATAATCCTCCCCCAGAGTCGCCTTTGCTGACTGCATGGTTCCCCATACAGTACATCGTCATGAAGCAACTCCGGGGAGAATGACAAAAGATTGTCGTTTCTCATACCTAGGTTCATCGTCTTGCCATCTTTGTATCTCGGTACATGACGGGGCGGGAACGGGACGGGACTGAACTTTATGGGAGCACGCTCCGTAATCTGGCCGAGGGTCCCCGAGTCGCTGTGCGCTCCCGCCGAACCCTGAGCTCGGATTCATCCGATGAATATGGACAGCGAGTCTTTTGGCAGCTTCGAGGGCCCTGCCCCGGACTAGAGGCCCCTTTAATTCGCGCCAGCGCGGATATTGCAGCCTCCAGGAAAGGATTCGCCAACAATAAATAGAAGTGCGGAGATGGCGATGGATCCACCTCTGTTTTCGCGCAAAGTTCCGAGAGTGAGTCGGCTACGCAGGCAGGCAGGTCATCTGCGTCGTGTTGCCGTGTCAGTGTCTGGCCTTCTAAACTGGTTGAATCAAGGCCATGGTAATATGGGCTCCAGCATCGCTCTGTGGGTGGTCTCTGGAGACCGGTGCATGCCGCGAGAGAAGATAGTGTGCAGAATCGCGATCATAAAGTTTCAAGCCATAAGTAATGATCGCCAACGGAAGCGCTAGCTGCATCAACGAGGCCGCTTTTCCGACGTGAAGTTCCCAGCTCAACCGTGGGACTGCCTGACCGGCTCGAGGGCTCGTCCCTGCAGAGGAGAGGGCGGCGTCGTCAAGGGATGACTTACATTAGTCGGTTTATGTCGCTGGAAAGAAACGGGCGCAGGCAGCCGGTGGGCGGAGGAGAGGCGGATGTGGGATAAATGGTGACGTGCATACGTTAGCGGCGCGGACTGGCGCGGGGTTGGCCTTTGGATGCATTCATTCGCCAGCAGCATCCGGCCCAGACGCAAGCTGCAGTTGGCACGGCGGGGAGTTGTTGAGAATGTGTGGCCGACGCCAATATCACCTGCTATTAAGCATCGAGAGGTACCGGAGAGGCGGCACACTGCGAGGAACGACCACTACAGCGGAAGGCGTTGTGAGGGTTAGAGAACATTCTGCCCGCAGAGGCTGGAGCGGGCCGCGTGTATGCTCCCACCGGCGTGGAACCATTAGAATTGAGCTCCCGTACTGTCTGCAGGCATGGCACGAGAGTGGTGAGGTGTTGCGTTGTCTTGTGCTAGCCTGCTTCTGGTATTCCGGGGCTGCAGGCCCTCGCATGGTCACGTGCCTGATCCTGCAGGGTCGCCCGCGTACTGCCTGGTTCGTCGCCTTGATGGCCTTTGGTGTTTTTCTTGATGAGGCGTGAATGAGCTGCTCTCCTCGTCTGGACGTCCTCTGGCTTGCGATTCCTATACCGACTCTTGGAATCGAATCATGAGGTTGGCTTTGCCCAGGTGCCTTTGTCTTCGGCCTTGGCCCTGGCCTTCGGACCGACTATTCCTCCGAGCGCAGGGCACACTCTCAATGACCTTCACGTAGCACTCGCAGCAAGCTCACAACTCCATGTCCGGTGGCGCGCCATGCCGCTTCTCATCCACGATCGCAAGCATACCACCGACTGAACCCAGCTAATATGTTCAACTTTACGCCCCTGCTAGGCGCGCAGTCCGCGTCTCCCGCGTCGCAGTCATTGTTGGAGTTCGACGGCGGCGTCAAGGTGCTGATAGACGTCGGCTGGGACGAGAGCTTTGATGTGGAGAAGCTGAAGGACATCGAAAAGTAGGTACAGTGTCATTATCATGTCCCTCCAGAGCTGTGCTGGCTTCTTTGCTCGCATGACAGCGTGCGCTCTAAGCTCGTTCCCGAATCGTTACGCTTTTTAAATGCATTAGAGGACCATTAGAACTACTACATGATGCTGACTATCAGGCACGTACCGACACTCTCCTTCGTCCTCCTCACCCACGCGACTACGGCGCATCTCGGCGCCTTCGCGCACTGCTGCAAGCACTTCCCTTTGTTCACGCGCATACCCATCTATGCCACCACACCCGTCATCTCCCTCGGCCGTACCTTGTTACAAGATCTATACGCTTCGACGCCGCTAGCCTCCTCTATCATCCCGACCGAAGCCCTCACCGAATCGGCCTACTCCTTCCCGTCTTTGAAGCATGGAAACAACGCGAACATCCTCCTCCAGGCACCGTCGCCGGAGGAGATCGCAAATTACTTCAGCCTCATCAACCCTCTCAAATACTCGCAGCCGCATCAGCCGCTCCCTTCGCCCTTCTCTCCTCCCCTCAGTGGCCTTACAATCACCGCGTACAGCGCCGGACACACACTAGGAGGCACGATATGGCACATACAGCACGGTATGGAGTCTGTAGTTTACGCGGTTGATTGGAACCAGGCAAGAGAACATGTCCTTTCTGGAGCTGCGTGGCTCGGTGGACCGGGAACTGGGGGCTCCGAAGTTCTTGAGCAACTGCGTCGTCCGACAGCAATGATTTGTAGCAGCAAAGGATCGGGTTCGGTCACTATTGCTGGGCAACGCAGCAAGAGAGACGAGGCTCTGTTGTCGATGATACGGGATACAGTAGCAAATGGCGGTTCTGTCTTGATTCCCTCGGATTCAAGTGCTCGGGTCCTGGAGCTTGCATATCTCCTGGAAGAGACATGGCAGAAAGAGACGACCGATCCAAGCAGTCCGTTGAAGAACGCAGGACTCTACCTCGCCACCCGAACTGGAGGTGCCACCATGAGATACGTGCGAAGCATGCTCGAATGGATGGAGGAGGGTATCGTGAAGGAGTTTGAGACCGCCAGCGGCGCACAGGAGGCCCAGGACCAGAGACGCAGCCGCGGACATCAAGGCGGCGCGAGGGGGGACGACGACAAAGCCAGAGCACCCTTTGATTTCCGGCACATCACGATGCTTGAGCGAAAGTCCCGAGTGACGCGAATGCTGAGCGCAGCAGAACCTCGTGTCGTCCTGGCGAGTGATACGTCCATGGAGTGGGGCTTTTCGAAAGACGCGGTAAGGAGTCTAGCGACCGATCGACGCAATCTGATCATCCTTACGGAGCGGGTTGGCGAATTCGGAGGACAACAGAAAGGACTAGGCAGGTATTTATGGGAGTTGTGGAATGAACGGAGTGCTTCCTCGGGGCAGGAATCGCTTTCAGCTTCAGTCATCGACGCTTCTGGCAATCATACATCGGTGCGGTCAAGCCGTACTGCACCCTTGGGAGGCAACGAGCTTCCTCTGTATCAGCAGTACCTCGCTAGGCAACGGCAGTTGCAAAATACTATCCAGGGAGATGGAAGCTCGGCGTTGGAAACCTCAGCAGACGTGGTAGATGATCGATCCTCTTCCACTTCGACGACTTCAGAAGATTCAGATATTGAACATCAAGGGAAAGCTTTGAATACAGCGACGACATTGCAGCACGCACGGAATAAGTTGGGTCTGAGCGATGCGGAGCTGGGCATCAATATCCTCATCCGGCGGAAGAACGTGTACGACTACGAAGTGCGGGGTAAGAAGGGGAGGGAGAAGATGTTCCCCTACGTCGCGAAGCGAAGACGAGCGGATGACTTTGGTGACCTGATTCGGCCAGAAGAGTTTGTGCGCGCGGACGAGGAGGACCAGGTTGCAGGAGAGGCCCTTCGTGGTGATGGATCAAAGAAAGAGAATGCAGTTGGCCAAAAGAGGAGATGGGATGATCTGGCTGTGGTGGCAGTTGACGGAGGACGTAGGATTCCCAATGGTACCCAGAAACGACGAAGAGGCGACTCTGACGCACAGCGGCCCGCAGACGGGGCAGAGTCTTCCGATAGCGAGCCAGAGGAGGATCCGGATCGAGTCGAAGGCCCATCCAAAGTCATTCTTGGGACCGAGACACTGCAGCTGAACTGCCGAATTGCCTTTGTCGACTTCTCCGGCCTACACGACCGCCGTACGATCCAGATGTTGATGCCCCTCATCAAGCCCCGCAAACTTATCCTCGTCGCCGGCGAAGAAGGCGAGACGAACGATCTCGCAGAAGATTGCCGGAAAGTCCTCGGCACAGGCTCCGGCGACGCAGCAGCAGCAGATGTTTTCACTCCCACTGTTGGCATGGCCATAGATGCCAGCGTCGACACAAATGCCTGGACCGTCAAGCTAAGCCGCGACATGGTGCGCAAGCTGCAATGGCAGAAGGTTAGAGGCCTCGGAGTCGTTGCTATCACCGGTCGCCTAGCAGCCGCCTCACTCGAACCAACGCCCAAACATGAAGATGGCAGCGCAAAGAAGAAAGCCAAGCTCGATGCTTCAGCATCCTCGACTGCCGGCGAAGAAGACAAAATGGACACCACACCCATCCTCGACGTCGTGCCCTCCAACATGGCAACTGCAGTGCGCTCCGTGGCGCAACCTTTCCATGTCGGCGACCTCAGGCTCGCCGATTTGCGCAAGATAATGCAGGCTTCGGGTATGACGGCTGAGTTTAGGGGAGAGGGTGTGCTCGTCATAAATGGAACTGTGGCTGTGCGCAAGACGGCTACGGGCAAGATTGAGGTGGACGGTGGTGCTTACAGTTTTGCGGACCCGAAAAATGGAGAGAGCGCGACTTTCTTCAAGGTCAAGAAGAAGATCTACGAGGGCTTGGCTGTAGTGGCTGGTCATTGAGCAAACGGATACATGGCCATGGACAGGAGATGTGGAAATGGATATGGTAGTAGAACTAATGGCCGCCTTGGTGTGGTCGTGCTTGTGTTTTTACCACATTCAGCGTCGTGTAGGATATGGGAGGGACTCAGTGCCTTTGAAAATGAGAGCATTACTATCAAGGGACTACTATCGATCCAAGGGAATTTGTGCCTTGGAACTGCCGCGCTCTCGTCTTGAAATATATATCCGCGGTACTCTTCTTTGGTAGTGATGGCGTGTGCTTCTTTTCTCTACAACTTTCCTAAAACTCTAAATTCAATCATCTGCGTGAGCAAACACCGCTTCGGTATCCAAGGACGAGTGCAATGACGGAGCTGAAACTGAAGATACTTTCAATGCATTATGGATGCCACGCTATCCTCTCGAAGAACTTCAAGCATCTCAAAAAACCCATCATGCATGCAATGTAAAACACAGCCGATCACTTGCCCGCTCTCCAACCCGCCCTCCATTTAGCACGTCGCCACCTTCGGCCCGGGCACCACATAACTCTTGAAGCTCGGGTCATAAATGTTCGCCGTGTACCCGGAATCCGTCGCCTTCACGTGTCCGGGGATCTTGGTCGTCGGCGACATGGCCTTGCTGCCGCCGCCGGTGACCTTGAGCTGCGCGCAGGCAATGTAGAATTGGGGAGTGCCGCCTGGGTTGTGGATGCCGAGCTGCTCGATGCGGAGGAGGTAGTCACCCGCGGCGATGCAGGAGGGGAGGGCGACGGAGTAAGTTTCTGTGGGGGCGTTAGACAGGGGTAGGGAGGGTATGGGAGGGTAAGGGGAGAAGGAGAAGGCAGGACGTACGGCTCATGTCCCACTTAGCCTGGCCGCCAGAGAAGGAGGGACCGATCTCCTTGATCTTGAACCAGTCCGTTGATCCATCGGCAGCCACTGCGTCCGTAACCTTGGTCATGTAGAAAGAGATGGGGCCCTGATGGTACACGGCGACATCGGAGGTGAATTGGACGGTCGAGCCAGCCGCAACAGCAACAGTCGTGGTGTTGCCGCCGCCACTTGAGGCGCCGACGTTGCAGCGGAGGTCGTTGGAGTTCAGGGCTGTAACGGGCGAGTTGTAGTTCGAGTTTGTGCGGACGTTCTGGTACTTTGCGCCTTTCTGGCCGTTGGCGGTGAGGAACTGGAAGATATCTGCGTGGATCTTAGTATGCGGATGTTAGGAAAAGTGTGGAGACGGTGAGCGTACAGTGGCCCTGGGCGACCTCAGCGAGAGTCGCGACGAGGAGAGCGGCGGCTGCGAAAGACTTCATGGCTACAAACTATCCCAAACTGACTCGACGAAGTGGAAGAATGGCTGCTGCGTGGTATCCTGAAGCGCTCCACACCCCTCCCTTCCAGCATCCTTATATACCGACCCGCCAGTGAGCCTCGCCGTTTCCCGACGCATCAGGGTCGATATTACACCACATAATGTTTCCCAAGTAAACTAAACGTCCCTTCTTGATTGGGCTTCGCATAGGCGCCCAAATGAAAAACGTCACTAAACCAATTCTCTGCGCCGTCCAACCTGTCGGCAAGTTGCCGGGTTACGAGACGGAGTGCATATATCCGTTGCCGAAACGTGTTAATCGAGAACCGTTCTAGAGTTGGGTAGGTGACAAAAAGATTGCGGGCGGTATTGGCGAGGGTAGTCGTGGTAGGGGAGGTAATATAGCGGATATGATAGTCGCCGCGCTGCGATCATGGTTTTGGGCACGGGAGCGTAGAGTGGGAGGTTTACGGCCAATGAGGATGAGGGAGATAGGCTGGACATTATGCGGCAGGTATGTCCTTTTTTGTGGGGGGCGTAAGATGAAATGGACGAGGGGTCGTGACGGTACTGCCGCCAAGTAGATTAATACTTCGCGGTATTTTGGATATATTGGCTTGGGGTTGAGACTAAGACCGAGAAGCGAAGTATGGGGGAAACCAAGAATCAGGTTCGAAAGCGATGGACCACGAGTCTTTGGCTAGACATGAGTGGAAGTGGTAGAAGGAGGGAGGGACTGCGAATACAAATGATGGTCGCCGTCGAGCGCTGGGAGTACCACATCTCGTGCCTAGAGTGGACCGACGTTTGCCGTTGCGGATGAATCGACAAGAAAATGGAAGAGAGATAGGACATCCAAAGCGGAATTGGCCAGTCTTCGACTCGACCCGAGGACTCATCATGCCTTTTGCCTTTGGTGATTCCATAGGCCATAGCTGATGGAGGCACGTGATGTGGCTGCTCAGGGCTGCGCCCGAGAATCCAGGTAGCTTCCGAGCCTCAGAGGCTGCCGGGTGGAGAGATGAGCCGCAACGGGATAGCCCTAACTCGTATTCCGAGCTCTTATGGGTATCTCCTCGTTTGGCGTTGAGGCGCCGCCGTTGACACGTCGGTAGTGCAGCAAGCTTTACGCCCCGTCGGCAGCGAATGGCGACATCTCAAGTACCCGATCCGATTTCGGCAGCGATTCTGTATCGTTGAGGGCTACGGGAAGTTGGGAACGGATAAGGAAGAAAAAAGCGTAGACGTGTTTGTCGACGTGGGATTTCCTAGGGCTGAAGCATTGGAAGAGTTACCGTACCCCGCTTCGGTCCCAGGCTCGAGCATGCGCTTTTGAAAAGCCGCTATTCCGTTTCGGCAAGGTCCTCGCGAAGGCGAGATGGCGCGCGTTGTTCCGAGATACGGAAGGTGGACGGTCCACACTTCTTATCGTCAACTCAAACAGAAGGAGCGTCTGCGTCCGCGTTAGGTAACATATTCGCCCTGCACAAACACATCCTCTTCCGCGGAGGGCTATACAAATACCGCACAGTCGGTTGTTCCCACCTCTTCCTCTAGTTTCATCTTCTTGGTGTTCTGAAGGAGCTTCAAAATGTCTACCGAAACGGTCGCCACATCTGCGTCTCTGCGCCTCGCCAAGAGCATTCCGTCACACCCTCTTGCGCCTCTTGAAGCCGCCGAGATCACGTCGGCGGCGGCGATTATCAAAGCCTCATGGCCGGCACATACGGACCTCCATTTTAAGGTTGTGACACTGGAAGAGCCTCCGAAGGCGGAAGTAGTGAAGTACCTGGATGCCGAGCACAGCGGGAAGCCTTTGCCGTCAATTAGCAGGAAAGCCTTTTTGAACTATTACATCCGCAACACGGTACGCTACCAGAGGTGCAATTTCAGGCATTAGAGGCTAATTGAAATGATAGAACAAGTTTCACGAGGCGATTGTAGACCTGACGTCGGGTCGCGTGCTCCACAACGTTCTCCTGGGACCGTTCGTCCACGCAAATGGCGATGGCGAAGAAATTGTAGCCATTGAGAAGGTAGCTCTTGCAGACGAGGGTGTGAAAGATGCGATTGCAAAATTGCAGCTTCCTGAAGGCACAACGGTGATCAGCGACCCCTGGATATACGGTACGTTTTGTGATAATTAGAGTACCAGGAAGTCTAAGCTGACGAATTAGGTTCCGATGGCATCGGCGATGAGGAAAGACTGTACCAATGCTTTCTCTACATGAGGGACCCAATGAACCCTTCAGAGGCGGATTCAAACCACTACGCATTGCCACTGCCAATCTCTCCTGTCGTCTGCACGGAGAACATGACGGTGATCCGGATCGACATCCTGCCGACTGGCCCAGACAACACGATCAAGCCTTTAGGACCCTACCCGATCCACCCACCAAACGAGTATATTCCAGAGCATCAAACCCTCCGAACAGACCTGAAGCCGCTGAACGTCGTTCAGCCTGAGGGTGCCAGCTTCAAAGTCACTAAGGAAGACACGTCGAACGTTCTTACCTGGCAGAAGTGGAAATTCCGGGTCGGATTCAACCAGCGAGAGGGCATGGTTCTCTATGATGTGAGTAATATCCCCGCAGATACAGCGTTTCTGGTTCTGATTGTTCTAGGTGCGCTACGACGGCAGAAGCCTCTTCTATCGCATGAGTCTGAGCGACATGAACATCCCATATGCCGACCCTCGGCACCCTTACCACAAGAAGTCGGCGTTTGATCTTGGCGATGCTGGCGCGGGTATCATGGCCAACAACCTCAAGTTGGGATGCGATTGCTTGGGCTCCATTTACTATCTCGACGCCGTGCTTTCGGATGACAAGGGTGGCGTCGTCCCGATGGAAAACTGTGTCTGCATCCACGAGCAGGACGCTGGAATCGGCTGGAAGCACACCAACTACAGAACCGGCCGTGCCGCTGTCGTTCGCTCCCGAGAGCTGGTTCTTCAATCGATCATCACCGTCTCGAACTACGAATATATCCTCGCATTCATCTTCAATCAGGCTGGAGAGGTCGACTATGAAATTCGCGCGACCGGGATTCTAAGCACGCAGCCGATTGATGAAGGTGTCGAGGTCCCATTCGGCACTGTCGTCCACCCCGGAGTCCTTGCGGTCCATCACCAGCACATCTTCTCGCTGCGTGTCGATCCATTCCTGGAGGGGCAGAACAACCGACTGGTCTATGACGAAGCCTTCCCCATGCCGCGGTCAGACTTCAATCCTCATGGCATCGGCTACTACGTGCAAGAGACCGTTGTCGATCAGTCGGGCGGGTACGATATCGAGTACAACAACAACCGCACCTTCAAGATTCAGAATATAGATGTGCGCAATCCTGTAAATGGAAAGCCCGTAGCATACAAGATCCAGGCACCACCATTCCAGAAGATCTTGTCCGACAAAGATAGCTTCAACTACAAGCGAGCCGAATTCTCTGACCACAATATCTACGTCGTCAAATACCGCGATGGCGAGCTGTACGCTGGAGGAAGGTACACCAACCAATCAAGAGGCGGTACGGGTGTGAGAGCATGGGCGGATAGGAAGGAGAACGTGAAGGATACCGACTTTGTGCTGTTCATTCAGGCCGGCCTCAACCATATTCCGAGGATCGAGGTAAGTGCTCGCTCTCTGTTCAACTGGATCCAGTCTCTAACTGTTCAATAGGATTTCCCGGTCATGCCTTGCGAGATCTTGAAGATCCACCTGAAGCCCGTTAACTTCTTCGATAAGAACCCGGCATTGGATGTACCGCCGAGTGAGCAGGGCTTCAACAAGAGCTCATTACTTAGCGAGCAGCACCACCAACCTTCCGTGGAGGCGACCGTTGGTAAGGACGGCGCGTGCTGTGGGCCGAAGCTATAAACTCGTTGTCTAACGACGAGCGTGCGTGTGGTATACCGGAGATAGAATTGCGGCTTGCGGGCGTACACATAGAATTGACGCAAGCTCGACAGTATTTATTAATGAACGAAATCCATTAGTGATCCATCAGTCTGAAGTGTTTCAGCAACCAATACTTCTCGGTCAACCTCTGGGCCGGAGGGAAAGTGCAACCGGCGGAAAGACGACAAACTAGGTTTAGCGTGCCAAGACTTACCAGGGTTCCACAACAAAGCTGGAGGCTCAACTCACTAAAGTTCAAAGGGCTCCTCTATACACTCACCCATTATTCAATACAAACCACCACAACCTCATATCGCTCATTAATCGAGAAAGGATACCAGTCTCAGTTATCAACCAATACCCAAAAAAGGACTCCAGGATCGGTTGTCGCGATGCCGCCCAACGACAAGGCCGGGCGCGTCGTTTTCATCGGCAATATTCCCTATGGCGGCACCGAAGAGCTCATTGTCGAGACGCTCGGTCGCGTTGGCCAAGTTCTCAACTTCCGCCTCGTGTACGACAAGGAGACGGGCCGACCCAAGGGATTTGGCTTCGCAGAGTTCGCCGACGCCGACGCAGCAGCCTCCGCGGTGCGCAATCTGAACGACTACGAGGTCATGGGCAGGAAACTGAGGGTAGACTGGTCCAACGACAATGGCGCCGGCGATAATGCGCCCACGAGCTACGCTGCCCCCAGTGCGCCGATTCCTATGAACGGACAACCCGACCCAGCGGCCGGTGCGCAGTCGGGCGCGCTTCCTCCTCTCCCGCCGGGCGCAGAGCTGGCGCCAAATGTCACCGTCCCCGATGCTATCTCGCGCACGCTGTCTACGCTCCCACCCTCCCAGCTTCTCGATATTCTCTCGCAAATGAAGGGCCTGGTCATGTCGGACCCTGGCAAGGCAATGTCGCTCCTCCGAGGTATGTATGCTATGTTTCAATTACGGCTCTGCCAAAGCCGCTCCCCACGACCTCCTCCATGTCTAGCAACCCAAGTCACGGGTTTGACACGCCTCGCCATTTTATGAATTGCTGATGTGTACCTTCGTAGACGCACCCCAGCTCGCGTACGCCATATTCCAGTCGCTCCTGCTTCTCAACCTCGTGGACCCCAGCGTGCTGGGCTCGCTCATCGAAGCTCCCGCAGCTGCTGCCGCGCCTCCACCCCAACCCCAACCACCAGTCCCACAACCGCAACCTCCTCGCAACTACCCAGTATACCCACCACAGCCGGTTCCGACGCCCCCTCAGGTCCAGGCACCTCCACCACAACCGTATGGACAGCCTCCGCCTCAGCAGCCACAGCCCGCTGTGGATCCACAACAGGCGTACGCTCAGATCTTGGCCATGACTCCGCAGCAGGTCGACGCCTTGCCGGAACATGTTCGCAATCAAGTCATGCAGCTACGGCAGATGCTCATGGGTGGCGGGCGACCGTAGTGTGATTTCCCATCTTGGCTTGAGCAGAGCGTCGAGGAAGAGTTCGATGGAAACTATATCACATACCCCAAAAGCGTTTACTTGGAGAGACCGGTTTCACCTGGGGCAACGTCTGTCGGAACGCCTTCAGAGAGCTCGACTGCAGATTGGCCAGTCTATTTCGATGCGCTATTGGACAGTCCTTCACTCTGCTATGATTGGTCTCCGGATGATCCAGCAGAGCAGTGGATTATCCCTGATGCGTCCTCCAGGAGTCCTTCAACCGATGTTTTTTGGAGCCCTCCCTCCCAGCAGTTCATTTCTTGTATGTCTTCACAAAGCTCCCCACCGGGGTTGTCGGTCGCCCCTATTACTCGTCCTAAGAAAGGACGCGGCCGTCCAAAAGGTGCTAAGGACAAAGTGAAGCGGCGCCGGCCGGGGCAACCAAAGCCCCCAAAGCCTGTGCTTAAACGAGGAAAGGCTTCTCACGTGGGAATCGTTTGAATAGCGCGGAGATGGGGTTTGCCATTCATGGCGTGGCACTTGATCTTCGCGTATGTCCTAGCATGCAGCTACGGTGTGTGTACCAAGGCGATTGGCTAGGTGCTGCATATAATGGGTGCCTGTTAGACTGGATCATTCGTAGCGTGCGAGATCCTCAGGTAGCTAGGTACCACCTTCCTTGATTGAATAAAATTCGAGTTGCAAAAGTCATCGCCGGTCGTTCTGTTATCGTCTCTCGCTCTATACTCAATTCGAGGGTCAGGGTCTTCCTCTAGTTGGTGGAGCCTTTTCTCAAATACGATATCTGTTGAATCATCTCGCATTACGCTTTCAGGAAAATGACCTAGCCTTACGCCCTATACATGATTGCTGTTTGCAAGGTTTGAGCTAGGCCGAGTGAGTTCGGTTCACGCCCTGAGATAGATGTCAGCCGCCCTTCTCAAGCGGAACTCCGCAGACTATCCGCATCCTCCCGTTGAAGTTAACTTCGACTGAGTCACAGACGTAAAGACATAAAAGACATGGTAGGCTGTTGCATCGATCAGCATATCTCACTACAGCAGCAAGCAAGAACTCTACCGTCGCCTTCCCTTAATCAACACAGCTCACATCAACAACACCCTACCGCAACTACCATCGAGATGCCCTGCCTTCCCATCGACTACGACGCCCTCGCCGCCGTCTCCAGCACCCACGACCCCAGCAAGCCCATCTACATGCTCAACCTCTGGAAATACCGGCCAAGCGCCGTTTACGCCTCTGAGCACGCCGCTCTCGCAGGCCAGCCATGCACCGGCCGCGAAGCCATGGATCGCTACATCACCGCCTTGCGCCCGCTTCTTCCACAGGGTGTTGGGCGTATCTTCAGGAGCGTGCCGATTGCGTCTGTTATTGCGCCGAAGGGCGAGGAATGGGATCTTGTGGCGATCAATAGGTACCCGACGCTTGAGGGGTTTAGGGAGATGCTGGAGAGTAGGGAGTATAGGGAGAGGGCGCTGCCACATCGGGAGGCGGGGTTGGAGGAGTGTCGGTTGGTTATGTTGGATAAGATGGAGTGAGGAGTGCACTCACAGTGTTCCCCTTGCTTGATCTCAGAACGTCTGTTCTTTACTGCGCGAGGAAGTCGGGATATGCCCGTCGGATCGTGGTCGAAACAAGCTTCTGGGCAGGAATGTTTCCACGCTTAGCTTCTGAATCCGAATCCCATTATTCCCGCGCATACTTCTAACCGGCATATATCTCTAATACATCCTCTGCGTGCATTGCGCATAATGCGATTTCTTTTCGCAGTGTTTCGCGTCGCTCAGCGAATGGTGGCGTGGTGCCGCCGAAGCGCGGTCTCATTGGCCCAGCCACTCCCCCATACGGCGATCGCTGGCAGGGATCCGGTCTGACCTCCACCAGCAGCTCGGCTCTTGCCACAACAACTCAGCTATCGGCGGGCATCGAAGGACCGGTGAGGGAGAGCGTCCGCCTGCACTTCGAGCGACCTGCATTCCAGCGTTTCCTGCCCGGATACCATAGCCTGTACAATATAACGACATGACGACGTGACGACGCCGCTTCCGATAATTTGAGCTCGACATTCGATACCCAAGCATCCCACGTCGAAAAGCGCTTCGATTTGCGCCCGAAGCTGTAATTTTCCACAACGCGCATGTACACTGCGACCGGAGCCCCCAGCTGAGCCGCCGCCATGTGGAGCAAATTGACTGGCAAGAGCGATAGCTCGTCTCCAAAAGATGATCGGGATAAGCGGCGCGAGTCTACGCGTCGCTCGAAGGCCTCCGAGTCGGTCGTCTCCTCTAGTTCGTCCAGAAGGCCTTCGGGCCGTGATCAGGACCGCGAACCGCGAGCAAGCTCCCGCCGCTCCCATACAGCTCCCGAGTCCGTCGCGTCCTCCTATGCTACCTATGCCACAGCCCAGGACGGCATGCGTCCAAACGCCGACCTATACAGCGACCCGCGAGACGAGGACTATGCACGGCGCCGCCGCGACGAAGACCGGGACGACCACTCGAGCTATTCACGCCGCGACCGGAGCAGAGACAGGGAGTCTCGAAGGGAAGACAAGAAGAAGGACAAGGACAAGGACAAGGACAAGGATAAGCGCGAGAAGCGGAAGAGCCGGTCTGAAGCGGGCAACTCGCGTCCTCAAGAAATTGTAGACGGTCCTAGAAGGGAAACGAGGTCTGTCAGCGGCCAGATTGAAACAGGAGGTTTCTCGCCCTTCCCAGGACGGACGGGCCCGCCCCTAATGTCCGGTGCGCTCCCGGCTGGCACAATGTCTTCCCACGTGCCCGACCAGTTCCCCGGCCAGAATCCCTCGCAGTACGCGGCGCCTTACATGCCAGGCATCGGCCATACCGACTCGTTTGGTGGCATTAGCCATACTGATTCCTTTGGCGAAGGTATGTCATTCTTATATCGGTCAAGGTTATGTCCACTGACTCCCGCCTAGCTGCGGCATACTACGGCGACCAAGGAGAATCTGTCCAGCATCAGCCTGGCGTGCGACCAGACCGCCCTTCGGTCATCATGCCTCTGGACACCCCGCACCTCATGAGCGCCTCTGCGCAGGCTATGCCCGTCGCCGACACTGGCTCCGGCGCGGCTGCCGAGTTTTATGGAACTGCTAGCACAGATATACCACCTGCAAAGCCGCCGAGACCTTCGTCAATGCCGGGTGGCTTCGTCGACGACGAGCCTTCACATCAGAAGCCGCCGCGACCGGCGTCATCGAAGCCGAACAGGCCTGGCAAAGCCAGCTCAGCAGCTGCGCTTGCTGGCGGAGCTGCTCTAGGCTATTCATTGGGCCACAGCTCCTCTCACACGCAACATTCCACAAGCTACACAAACGGTGCCCAGGGCGCTTCTGCATCCACGTACTACAACGCTGACAACGCCTCCATCGCAGCGACTGATGGGAGTCAAATTCCCACTTACTCCGAAGCTATGGCGGGCGCACCACCTCCAAAGCCACCAAGACCGGGAAAGCCAGAAAAACAGCCCTCTGGATCTTCGCACGCTGGATTGTATGCTGCCGGAGCCGCGGGTCTAGCAGCCTACGGCCTACATCATCACAATTCGCATCATCATCATTCATCTCCCATGCCTGGTGCGTTTCCCGGCGGACAGTACGACGGCGTTTCACCTTCACCGGGTCCATTCATGTCTGGCGGCATGGCTCATAGGCATGAACACAGGGGCCCTGTGTCCAAGTTTGCGGACTGGTGGAAGAATTATGACGACGTGCGCAAGATGGAAGAGTATACCGAGTATATTGGAGTCTGCCGAGGCTGCTTCGATCCACGCTCTTCTCCCATGGATGCCCCACGAAAGCATCATTACAACCGGAAGCGGTCTAGCGAATTCCGCCCTTCTGGTATTGAGAAACAGTCTCGGTACGGTCTTTCCGAGAAAGCCTCACGTTCCTCGCTATCTGGTGATGGGAAGCGTGACAAGCGAAAGAGCGGGAGCGCGACGGGATGGCTCGCTGCGGGACTCGGCGGAGTTGGCCTTGCCCAAGCTGGAAAAGCACTCTGGAGCCAGAATAGGGACGATTTCGACGATACATACAGCGTCAAGTCCGGAAGGCATACTCGTTCCAGCGCGTCCTATCGAAGCCGTAGCCGCTCTCGCGACCGCAAGCATCACTCTTCCAGCCGCTCCGAGATTCGACATAGGAGCAGCTCTAGAGACCGGATGTCTAGGCTTTCTGTTGGTGTGACGGGTGACCGCAAAGACTACAAGATCGTTCGGCATAGGTCACGCTCGCGGTCAAGCTCTCGGTCGCGGTCTCGTTCTAGGGATCGCAAGCCAGGTCTCCTTGGTGCAGCGGTTGGGGCAGGGCTTGCAGCATCCGCTGTTGGTGCTTCGCGGCGGAAGCATCGCAGCCGTAGCCGTAGCCGTTCTCGCTCACCCCAGAAAGTATTCGTGCGTCACCGAAGGGATAGCAGCGACCATGATCGAAGGCATTCCAAGACTCACCGCGTAAGCCACAAGTCTTCTCGAAGCTCAATCGGATCTGGTTCTTTGGTCGATATGTCGCAACCACACAGGACCCAAGGCGGATTCTTGGGCGGCTTCTTCACTGCTCCTCCACCCAAGGAGAAACGTCGCAAGACTCATACCCCCTCCAAGAAAAAGAAGGGCTTCTTCAATTTTGGCAACGCATCATCGTCGTCATCAGATGATGGGTTGGTGTTCGGTGCTGGATACGACAGAAGAAGAAGACGGTCTACGCGACGCAACTCGGACGAGAAGCTCAATGCCACTTTGGTTGGCCTCGGCGCTACCGCAGCTGCTATTGCCGCTACAAAAGCGGCACGCTCCAAGGGCAAGCATCGGCCCGAGGTTGTGGCAGTGCGAGAGCGTCATCACCAACACAAAGGCAGCGATTATCGTCGAACCGGTTCATCATCTCGATATGGTGATGAAGACGCCGATGGCTGGGAAGATTTGCCCGAAGAAGAGACTTCTTCCGACTCCGGTGGAAGCATAAGCTCTGGCCTTGCCTTTGGCGATTATGATTGGAAAAAAGGTAAGAGCCAAGAGTCTCTGGCATCAAGTGCTTCCGGCACCAACAAATGGAGTTGGCGTTGGGGCAGCAAGAAGAAGAAAAAGCAACCCTCCAGCGAGAGCTTGTACAATGCCGGCGTGAACACGTCTTTCGTAGGCCCTGCAGCCGCTGGTGCCGTTGCAGGGGCAGCAATTGGCGCAGGTCTGAGTCGGCATGATAGCAGTGCGAGCAGTCTACCGTCTCTCCAGAATGTCTACCCAGTCGCATCGAACGATCCTACGACTTTCGACGCTAGACGCACTAGCTCTGTTCCTACTCCTCAACCCCTTATTACCTCAAGGCCTGAATCCATGAGCATTCAACAGCCTCAGCCCATTCATCAGGTCCCAGGCGCTATCTACTCGACGCACGCCCCTTCGCAACCCAGTTATGTCGCCCCGAGCGGTCCTCCGGTCTTCTCCCAGATACCCTCTCAGCCGTATCCGCTGCAATACCAGCCAGGATTTGGCGAAGCTCCTCAGCGTGCAACCGCACCGCCTCTTCCACGTCGTGCTAATTCCTCTCCTATACAGCCCTCCTGGAAGCGTGACGCCGCGATTGCTGGAGTGGCTACTGGCATCGGAGCTGCTGCTCTTGCTTCTGCCAAGAACAAGGATCGCGTGCCCAGCTCCCCTTCGAATGTTCGCTTTGATTTGACGAAGGAACAAGCGAAGAAGGAGGATCGTCAGCGCCGTAAGGAGGAAGAACGCGTGGAGGAAGAGCTGCGACGCCGCCGCGAACGGGAACGTCACGAGGAAGAGGACCGTAAGGAGCAGGAACGGCGGCGTCACGAGCTGGACCGTCAGCAGGAGGAAGCTCGTAGGTACCTCGAGGCCGAGCGTCTAGCCAAGATCGAAGCGGAACATCGCGAAGCCGAGAAGCGCCGGGAGCGAGAAGAGCGGCGTGCTCGTGAAGCTAGAGAGGCCGAAGAAAGGGAATACAGGGATCGAGAAGCTCGCATTGAAGCGCAACGTCAGGCGGACATCGAGCGCGAAGCTGAGCAAATGCGTAAAGAGCGTCGGGAAACGGAACGTCGAGAAGCCGAAGTACGTGAGCGCCGAGAGCGTGAAGCTCGTATCGAAGCGCAGCGACAAGCGGGTATCGAACGCGAAGCCGAACAGACCCGAAGAGAGCATAGAGAAGCAGAACGTCGAGAAACAGAGCGTAGGGACGCTGAGAGACGTGAGGCCGAAATCCGAGAAGACGCCGAACAACGTCGCCGAGAACGTGAGGCGCAAGAGTATTCCGAGCGTTACGAGAGCGATCGCGAACGACGCCGGCTTGAGCAGCAGCGGACCGGAAGCTCAGTTGCCAGTGATGTGCGACGTAAAGAGGAAGAGCTCGCAGAGCGCGAACGCCCCATCGTGCAGCCAGACACTTGGAAATCTACAGCAGCAGCGGCTGCTGTCGCCGGAGCAGCCGCCGCAATCACAAGTTCCGCTATATCATCGCGCCGCGATGAGCGGCCTCCTGCGAGAACCGTGGAGCCGAGCGTCAAGCATGTGGCCCCAAGCGCAATCGTTCAAGACTACACGGACGAGGACATTTTTGATCCCGATATCTTCAAGAAGCATACCGCTCGTGAAGTTCTTCAGGATTGGGAGGACCGGTACATGGTCAAAGAGGAGCCTGTCTCACAAGCAGACTTTTTTGCACCCAAAGAGCTTCTTGAACATAGCGCTCCCGTCGCCAAAATTGATCCCAACGAAGGAGCTACCGATATGCACGTGTACCACGCGCACGACGATTTCGATCTCGGTCCGCCCAAGGCTCCGCCTTATCCTCCTTCCTACTCGTTCACCGCTACCAAAGACGGCCGAGGCCCTCTGGCTCCTCCTTGGCCTGTGCCTTCTTTGAACCTTATCCAGCCTACGCCGCCAGGCAGCAGGGCCAACTCTATCCGGGCTCCTTCACCGGTAGTTGAACCCAAGGACGAACCCAAGAAAGAGGAGTCGAAACAGGAAGATGCGGCAAGGCGGAGTGCAAGGGTTAGCTGGGGCGAGAATCAGTTCCACAACTACGAGGTACCTACTCCTGATTCCTATCGCGAGCAGTTCATCTCAGATCGCGACTTCAAAGACCAGCCAAAGCATTCGCAGGATGAGATTGTGGTCGTGGCCGATTCTCCTGAGACCGGCAAGCGAGCGACGTCCTATAGGCCAGAGATCCCTACGAGCACTCAGTATGTCCCTGATCAAGAAGAAGATAGCTGGGCTGGCACCATGTCAAAGAAGGCGAGCAAGAAGGACAAGAAGAAGGCCAAGGTCGCCGCGGCTGCGGTAGCTGCGGCAGCGACAACAGCAGCAGTCTTGGCTCGGGATGAAAAGCCAGACACTTCTTCTACGATCAGCGACCCGTTCTCCGATTCGCATGCCGCGAGCGTCCCCTCGTCGATTCCATCGTCAAGTGGTGTCTACCAAGCTCCTTACTACGAGTCGGTCTCGGATGTCGGCGTGCGGCCGTCCAAGCCCAAGGGCTTCGTTGAGGGCGAAATCACGGAAGAGCCAGAACAGATGCATATTCCAGGTAGCTTTGATGAAGAGCTGGTACCCGAAAAGCCCACAGAAGACGAATGGGCCATTCCGACTAAGAAGGGCAAGAAGGGAAAGAAGAAATCGAAGAGTACAGACGATGACATCCTCGCCAAGGACAGCCCACAGTCGAAGTATGTCCCAGAGCCCGATTCAGCCAAAGAGCTAGCTCCTGAGCTAGAGGTCAAGCTTAGCAAGAAGGAGAAGAAAAAGAAGGGCAAGGCAGCGAAGCGCGCAAGTTCTGACAACTGGGAGGACACTGAATCAAGCCAACCTGATACACCTGTCCTTGAACGCGACATCAGAGATATCGAGCCTTCGTATACCGCCTACTCTCCTGCCAAGCTCGCGGGAGGGACTGACGAGGGACGTGTGGATCGAGGCCCTTCCTCATCCAGCGCTACAGCGGCTGCTACGGCTGGTGGTCTTGCCGGCCTGGTTTCTGCAGCCATGAAGCAGGACCAAGATAGGATGACTTCTGACTTGGAAACTGCTCGGAAGAACCTCGAGTTTGCGGACGAGTACAGCGCACCCAACGAGTCTGTTTCTACGTCAAACGGCTCGCGTGGGCTGGACGAGAGCGAGAGAAGGATCTCATTGCCTAGTACTGCCTTCCACGATGTCGAAGAGCTGGTGGACGCCAAGACCCCGAAGAAGAAGAAGAGGCACAGCAGCGGGAAGTGGTCTCCTTCCGTAGGGTCTCCTCTCAAGACTGAGCTGCAATACGATGACTACGTCGGAGCCGCGGTCGGGCCGACCGTGTTTAAGGACGAACCAGTCGTTGAGGCACCGAAAGCTCCTGCCGGCTTAGGAATGACTGACATAACGCCAGCCACCTCAAGAGGCGTCCACGACTCTGGCTACTATGCGCCTGATGATGAGGTACGGGATAATACCGCAGAAAGAGATTCAGACGAGTTCTTCTCTGCTGGCTCAGATGACAGGAAGAAGTCCAAGGGGAAATCTCGGGAGTCGGATAGGTATGACGACCGCGACACCAAGTCGGTTGCCTCTTCTGGCAGCAAATACGACGAGCTCGACCGCGAAGAGAGACGTCACCGGCGTCGAGAGGAGCTCTCCGAAAGCCGCGACCGGGGCTACGAATTCGATGAGGGCGATCGCAAGCGTAGGCACCATCGGCGACGCGAGACTGATGAACGATCCGACGACTGGGACACGAAGTCTACGATCTCAGAGTCGCGTTCTGAACCGAATGGGGAACGTCGACGTAAGCACAGGAGACGGGAGAGCGAGCGGAATGGCTCTCCTGAAGGCCGTGTCCGATCATCAGCTGCCTCAGATCCTGGAGATCTATACGAACGTGAGCACAAGTCTAAGCGTAGATCCAAGCGGGACAGCGATTTCGATGATAGTGCGTCCGTGGTTTCTTCAGCGCGCCACGACGAAGAGCGCAGCTCGAAGAAAGACAAGGAGAAACGATCTAGCGGGCTCTTTGGGCTGTTTAGCAAATCGAAGGAGAGTGTACCGGAGGCATCTAGCAAGTCTTCGAAGTCGAGGGATGAAAACGATGACGACGAGCGTAAACATCGTAGGAAAAAGCACCGGGACCGCGGTTCGACATACGGGTCGGATGACGACGACGTGCGCTCTACAGTGTCTTCCGGCAGCCGCCGTGAGAAACGAAGGAGCCGCACCGACAGTTGGGACGAAGGTAGGGACGCCCTCGATGCAAAGGTACATTATTCCTCCCCTTTGCTGCGTTATTATTCATCATGCCGAGATACTAATGGCATATCTTTACAGGACCGCAGCACTCAGCGCGAAAGGTCTAAGGACTCACAATATGACGAAGACCAGTCTTTTTTAGGGGATCGGGCAGTGGCAGCCACACCACTGCCCGAAAGTGAGGCTACGTCTCACGACCTGGAATATCATCAGGACAGTGGCATCCCCGGGGATCGACCCGAATACCCTCTCCCTACTCTCGACGACTCTCATCCTTTCCCACGCGATTCCCGGGATGTCGAGCGTCCTACAACGCCAACACCAGTCGAAGACAGCCGCGCTTTGCTGACCCGTCTTACTGGCTTGCCGCCCTGGCAGTTGGAAGCTTTCCCGGACGAGCTTCCACCTCTGCCTGTGTCTCGACCGACCTCTCCGCATCTGTCTCCTGAGCAGACTCGTCCGTCGCCTCTTTCGGAACGCCGTCTGTCTTCTACGGCAATACCTATTCGCTTCCGTAGGCCTCCTGCATCGCCTGGCGTGCAACGCGACCTTACTCTGGACCTTAAGAATGTCCCTAGCCCCGGTAGTTCACCACTCCGTCCACAAGGCCCTCGGCATACCAAGTCTCATTCCGGCGAATTCAAGCACTCCCGCGAGTACAGGCCTTTATATTTAGTGGAGCGCAATCGTAAGTCCGCCGAAATCGAGGAGGCTCTACCGGCCCTTCCATCAAGCGGCAGCCCTTCTCGAGCCTCTTCCACCAATGGAACAGAAGATGAGTACCAATCCGCGCTCGAATCGCCTCATCTGAGTGGGAGCGATAGCTTTGAAGGGTCTTTCATGGATACCTTGGGCTTCGTATCTCCACCATATCCTGGTCCTGAGCTGCAACATCCGGAACTTCAAGACCGTGAGATCGAAGAGCTTCCTGAGTCTCAGCAGACAACCCCCAAAGCATCATCGTTCCCAGCTGGTGTCCTGCAGCCTCGCAAGGATGCCGCGCCGCCTGCGGATGCCCTTTCTGCTGCTCTCGAAGGGGCTAAAGAAGATCCCAATGGTCTCGACTTGTCTTTGGAAGAATCTGTCATTCTGCAGAAAGGCTCGTCACGACCGGCAAGCCCTCTGGCTCCAAGTCCACCTATCGATGATTCCAAGATGAGAGATATCCCGAGACCTTCCAGCGCCGATCCATCAGCCTCAAAGTCATCGTCTCTGCTACAGGAAGCCGCATTTGGTGCCGTAATCGGGGGTGCGGCTGCGACTGCGCTGAGACATCGATCACCGTCTCCTGCTGGCTACGACTCTGACTTTATGGGCGGAGAACTTGACCAGGAGACCATTGACCTTGCGAGCAAGTCGATCCCACCTCCAGAACCCCAAGAGCCTGAACGCCCAGCGCTCTCGCGCACGCCTTCGTCAGCCTCGACGAAGGGAAAGAAAGGCAAGAAAGGATCCAAGGGCAGGAGCATTGATCTGGGAACCGAATCGCCCAAGAAACTCACCGCTGAAGATCATCAGAAGATCCGGGAACTCGAGACGGCTGACGCCGTGGAGGGATGGTTCAGCGCACCCGTAGAGGAGCCCCAGCCTATCGAAGAGAAGCAGCCCGAGCCTATTCAAGAACCGACCGAGCCTGATCCAAATCTCCTACGCCGCGACAGCAAAGGGAAAGGTAAGAAGAAGAAGGGCAAGGGGAAGAAGGGTTCTATCTCAACGCCTAGCGAATCTCCCGCACCCACACTGACCGAGGAAGCGCCTGCACCTTTGGCAAGCTCATCACAGTACGTCCCGACGTTCGTCGAGAACGAAGAGGACTGGGTCAAGAACCGTGCTGCATCCATTATCACGGATGATGCTACGCTTGTGGGCGAGCTGGGCGCTAGTCAATATGCGGGTTCGCCTGAGGCGTCTTCGAAGGAGTTCCGCCGACAGAAGATTCTGGACACTACAGCTCCGCGAGGCGAGGACGATATGGATGTCAGGCAAGCTGCGGTCGACAGTAAGAGTTCGCTTCAAGAATTGCTTGGTCCCGAACTGCACAGGAAGATCTCCGAGAGCAAATTGACGGGCATCGAGGGTCCAGCTGAGCAAGAAGAGAAGCCGGTTGATCTCTGGGCCGCTACTACTCCGAGGTCTGAGCAGGATATCTCTGTGCAACCTGAGGCAATTGCCCCCATCTCTACGGACACGGAGATCAAGCCCCGTGATGTTCTCTCAGAAGCCTTTGCCGAGGAAGAGATCGCGCCCGTTCAGAAAGGCAAGAAAGGGAAAAAGGGCAAGAAGGGGAAGCGAGAAAGTCAACAAATCGAAACTTCTATCCTTCCCTCCGAGCCGCTGCCTACCAAGGAGGAAGCTATTCTACCCGCGCCGGGATTGCAACAAGAGCAGGTGGAGCATGAGATCCTACAGCCGGCGTTCGCAGACGCTGGCGAGGCGTCCAAGTACCTTGCTCCCTCTGAATCGCTACAGATTGCTCAGCCAACCCAGCCAGCTGATCTCCCAAGCGGCGATAAGCCGGTTGATGCTATGGATTTCTTGGTTAAAGATGCCACACCTAGTCCTCCAGCACCTCTCCAAGAGACTAAGGGAGTTGTGCCTGAGCCTACTCTGCCTGTTCCTTCAACAAATATTTCCAGCCCCGACCAGCCTGTCAATGCGATGGATTTCTTGGTCAGAGAATCTGCAGAACCCAGCCCTGGGCCTTTTGGCGAAGAAAGTAAAGAGATCGTCTCTGAGCCAAGCACTATGACAGATGTTCCGGAAGGTCAGCCCGAAGTGCAGTCTGCCCCCACGACATCTGCCAATGAGGCCGCGGCATCGTGGGGCAAGAGCCTTTTGGGTGCCTTCGGATGGGGACGGAAGAAATCACAGCCTTCCACTCCCGAGCCGCGATCGCCTGCTGTGGTTCCTGTCGTTGACGAGAAGAGCATAGAGCCTGCAGCATTACCGGAGTCCATCCAGCCCCTTGAGCCAGCCACTCTTCCGAGCGCCATGTCGGAAGTTGTACCAGACACAGAGACGTTTCCAACACCTAAGGATGTCACAAGTGAGCTATCTGCGGAGGCGCAACAACCTTTGCCGGAAGTCGAGGCCTATGTCGAGAAGGAGCCCGATCGCGACCTTGCCCAAACCGCTACCGAGGTGCCAACTGATGGCGACAAGGAGATCTCCGAAGAGGCAACACAGATTCCCAGGGAACCTTCTGTCCCGGTCGAAGAGGACGAGTGGTCACTACCATCCTCCTCTAAGAAGAAGGAAAAGAAAGGGAAGAAGGGCAAGCGTGGAAGTGTCCAAGTGTCTGAACCCGCCGAACTGGAAACTACGACTTCTTTGGAGGCACAAGAGGAGGTTACGTTTGAGCGAAAGCCGGAAAAGAGGATACCTTCAGAGCCACAGCCCGCAACGGAAGACGAATGGGCTACACCTAGCAAGAAGGGTGAAAAGGGTAAGAAAGGCCGTCGTGAGAGCACACAGCCTTTAACGCCCATCGAGGGCGAGCCAAGTACCCTAGCACCAGAAGCCGAACAAGAACCGCCCGTTGTCGCCGCTTCGGAGACGTCTCGCGACCTTAGTGTGAGCGAAGAGACTTCCCAGACCGAGCTGGTTGCTGAAGCTGAAACTACCCCTACGCCTGTTGCTGCGATTCAAGAGGACGACTGGGCATTTACCCCAAAGAAGAAGGGCAAGAAAGGCAAGGGAAAGAGGGCCTCACAGGCGTTCGAAACTGCGCCCTCAGAGCCTTTGATCGAGCATCAACCGAGCGACCAGAAGGTTGCTGATGCCCCGAAAGAGCTTGAGCGCCGTGTTGAGGGCCCTTCTACCGATCTTGAACCAACGTTGTCCGCTGGGGACATTCCGTCTGAGGACATTGCGACAGCCATCGAGCCGCTTGCCGAGGACGAATGGGCAATGCCTTCCAAAAAGGACGAGAGGAGGAAGGGCAAGAAGGGAAAGTCGACTGGAGCTGAGCCGGCAGTCGTTCCCGAACCTTCTCAGACGACCAAGGACGTTGATATTGACTTGCCTACTGAAGAAGAGGAATCTCGTGAAGTTCCGAGGGCTATCGAACAGGTAGCTGAGGACGGATGGGCCATGCCTTCTTCGAAGAAAGATAAGAAAAAGAAGGGCAAGGAAGGAAAGACTGGCCAGGATGTCCAACCGGAGCAACCTTCGACACCCGTTCTCCCAGAGCCCAGTATGGAGGGAAGTCTATCCACATCCGTTCCTGAGGAGCCAGCCCAAGATATAGCCCAGTCCTCTGAAGCCATTCCATCTCGGTCAACAGTTGAGCCCGTCGTCACCGAAGATAAGCAGCTTTTGCAGGCTGTAGAGCCTCTCGCAACAGAGATCATTCCGAGTGAACCGATGCAAACTCTTGAACAGTCTGCCCAGTCCATTCCTTTCGAGCCTCTTGTTGAGGCTCGCGACGAAATGCCCGTTTCTCGGCCTGTAGAGCCTCTCCTTGCTAAGCCCGTCGTCGAGGGAGAAGTGATCGACGAGAAGACTGCCTCTCATCCTTCTGCGCCCATTCCTGAGCCAGTTGTCGCTGAGTCTGGCGTTGACAAGCTGGTTGTTACAAGGCCCTCGGAGTCGGCTCAAGAGAAACCTACAATCGAGGGAGTTGGAAACCTTGTGACTGATGAGCCAACCATCTCGCAACCTTCAGAGCCGGTCGAGGACGAGTGGGCGGTGCCGCTTTCTAAGAAGGATAAGAAGAAGCAGAGCAAGAAGGGGAAGTCTGCCTCCGGCGCCGCGACGCCAGTCGAACCGGAAGTCGAGCCTACTTCTCGAGATCTAGGCTTCAGCGACGATCGTCTTGCTCCTTCTCAGCTTACGGAGATTCAACTAACTTCTCAGGACGTCCTGACCGATGTTGAACCGCAGCCCAGTGCCGACCTAGCTCAAGAGCAAGTTCAAGAGCGTGATTGGGCTTCGCCGCCATCTGAGAAGGACAAGAAGGCTAAGAGGGGCAAGAGTGCCTTGTTTGAGGAAGAGCCAGCTCCTGGAATCGCTCCTGAAGCTAGCAGCACTGAGACTGGCCCTTCTGAAACTGTTCAAGAAATTCTTCCCAAGCCACCCAGCGAGACTGCCGCTGATGACGAGTGGGCTGTGCCCTTGTCTAAGAAGGACATGAAAAAGAAGAAGGGCAAGAGGGGCGCGTTTGAGAGTCCTGCTCCTGAACCCATCTCGACGCCCACGGAAGAGGTGCTCCCCCTCGAAGACCAGCCTCTATCGCAACCAGAAGACCTTCCTAAGACCGTTCGCGCTTTGGCTGAGCAGCCACTCCCTGAAGCTCAAGCAGACATTACTCGCAACGAGAAGGAACAGAAGCAGGAGGATGCGGACGAATGGGCCCCTATCTCCAAGAAAGACAAGAAGAAGGCCAAGAAAGGAAAGCGAGCTTCTCTGCTCGACAGTGAGCGGTCATCGCCAATCGCAACACCCGCCGAGGAGGTTCAAGAAACGCCTTTGTTTGAGCAGCCCATCACAT